AACTGATTCACGAATCACGAAACTTTCCTCAGAAAGCGCTTCTACCTCTCTCTGTAATTTTTGTTGGCGCGTATGACCAGAAGTAAGGCCTTTCTCAAGAACCACTAGCGCACGTAGGTTACCTGCTATGTCTATGTTATTCTGTATCACACAAACCTGATTGCTGGAGCTAGATTGGACACTGGTATTTTGTCGTTTTGAAAACACGGACTCATTTTCACTTTTATCCCCATTGACGAACATTTGCAGTATTTGACAGTCCCCTGCATTCTTTTGTGGTTTTTTGGCTGCTAAATTCCCCCTTTGGACACCCCTCGAGCGGTCTCGCTCTATTCAGTAATACAGATCTGTACAATGACGCCATTATAATGATTATTATTATTACATTTTTAAAGGCCCGTCAACACATAAAAGGTTATTAGGGCCACCAACGGTAAAATACACAGCGATCCAACAAGAAATAGCATTAAACAAACCAAAAGCTAAAAGTTAAAAATCTTAAATGGGTATGTTAACACAAAAGATTAAAATGCTACGTCATAGTCTATTATGTAGACCAACATCTTTCAGGTAATGTAGAATTTTACAAATCTCAACAGTTTCAAAAGGAGTTTTTACAAGGCCGACAGTTTTTCTACATATGAGTCTCTCGTGAGATTACAAAGTTCCTCATCCAACATACTAATAAAGCTCTGATCGGGTATATCCGAATACTGCATCACCTGGGATTGTGACATAGGACAGTGGTTCAACTCGGACATGGTGTCATGGCCACCCGGGGTATCAGCTTGGGCTGGGACAGGAGCTAAGTCCTCATATTTGCTGTTAGAATCATTGATAGAATCAATGTTATGATCATTACAAAACTCAAGATCCAGAACTGGCTGTAAAACAGCATAACTCTTACCACCGGTATTTCAGTCAGGGATGGCATCACTTAGGCACGTTATATCACTGTAGGGTTACATCACATATCGACGTTAAATTCACTGAGGTGTGATATCACAAACTGGCGTTATCTACTTAGTGGCACTATCAGATACCGACGTTAAATTCACTGAGGTGTGATATCACAAACTGGCGTTATCTACTTAGTGGCACTATCAGATACCGACGTTAAATTCACTGAGGTGTGATATCACAAACTGGCGTTATCTACTTAGTGGTATTATCAGATACAGATGTTAAAGTCACTGAGGTGTGATATCACAAACTGGCGTTATCTACTTAGTGGTATTATCAGATACAGATGTTAAAGTCACTGAGGTGTGATATCACAAACTGGCGTTATCTACTTAGTGGCACTATCAGATACCGACGTTAAATTCACTGAGGTGTGATATCACAAACTGGCGTTATCTTCTTAGTGGTATTATCAGATACAGATGTTAAATTCACTGAGGTGTGATATCACAAACTGGCGTTATCTACTTAGTGGTATTATCAGATACCGACGTTAAATTCACTGAGGTGTGATATCACAAACTGGCGTTATCTACTTAGTGGTATTATCAGATACAGATGTTAAAGTCACTGAGGTGTGATATCACAAACTGGCGTTATCTACTTAGTGGTATTATCAGATACCGACGTTAAATTCACTGAGGTGTGATATCACAAACTGGCGTTATCTACTTAGTGGTATTATCAGATACCGACGTTAAATTCACTGAGGTGTGATATCACAAACTGGCGTTATCTACGTAGTGGTATTATCAGATACAGATGTTAAATTCACTGAGGTGTGATATCACAAACTGACGTTATCTACTTAGTGGTATTATCAGATACAAATGTTAAAGTCACTGAGGTGTGATATCACAAACTGACGTTATCTTCTTAGTGGTATTATCAGATACAGATGTTAAATTCACTGAGGTGTGATATCACAAACTGGCGTTATCTACTTAGTGGTATTATCAGATACAGATGTTAAATTCACTGAGGTGTGATATCACAAACTGACGTTATCTTCTTAGTGGTATTATCAGATACAGATGTTAAATTCACTGAGGTGTGATATCACAAACTGACGTTATCTTCTTAGTGGTATTATCAGATACAGATGTTAAATTCACTGAGGTGTGATATCACAAACTGACGTTATCTACTTAGTGGTATTATCAGATACAGATGTTAAATTCACTGAGGTGTGATATCACAAACTGACGTTATCTTCTTAGTGGTATTATCAGATACAGATGTTAAATTCACTGAGGTGTGATATCACAAACTGGCGTTATCTACTTAGTGGTATTATCAGATACAAATGTTAAAGTCACTGAGGTGTGATATCACAAACTGACGTTATCTTCTTAGTGGTATTATCCGATACCGACGTTAAATTCACTGAGGTGTGATATCACAAACTGGCGTTATCTACTTAGTGGTATTATCAGATACAGATGTTAAAGTCACTGAGGTGTGATATCACAAACTGACGTTATCTTCTTAGTGGTATTATCAGATACAGATGTTAAATTCACTGAGGTGTGATATCACAAACTGGCGTTATCTACTTAGTGGTATTATCAGATACCGACGTTAAATTCACTGAGGTGTGATATCACAAACTGGCGTTATCTACTTAGTGGTATTATCAGATACAGATGTTAAAGTCACTGAGGTGTGATATCACAAACTGACGTTATCTTCTTAGTGGTATTATCAGATACAGATGTTAAATTCACTGAGGTGTGATATCACAAACTGACGTTATCTACTTAGTGGTATTATCAGATACAGATGTTAAATTCACTGAGGTGTGATATCACAAACTGACGTTATCTACTTAGTGGTATTATCAGATACAGATGTTAAATTCACTGAGGTGTGATATCACAAACTGACGTTATCTTCTTAGTGGTATTATCAGATACAGATGTTAAATTCACTGAGGTGTGATATCACAAACTGGCGTTATCTACTTAGTGGCACTATCAGATACCGACGTTAAATTCACTGAGGTGTGATATCACAAACTGACGTTATCTACTTAGTGGTATTATCAGATACAGATGTTAAATTCACTGAGGTGTGATATCACAAACTGACGTTATCTTCTTAGTGGTATTATCAGATACAGATGTTAAATTCACTGAGGTGTGATATCACAAACTGGCGTTATCTACTTAGTGGCACTATCAGATACCGACGTTAAATTCACTGAGGTGTGATATCACAAACTGGCGTTATCTACTTAGTGGTATTATCAGATACAGATGTTAAAGTCACTGAGGTGTGATATCACAAACTGGCGTTATCTACTTAGTGGCACTATCAGATACCGACGTTAAATTCACTGAGGTGTGATATCACAAACTGGCGTTATCTTCTTAGTGGTATTATCAGATACAGATGTTAAATTCACTGAGGTGTGATATCACAAACTGGCGTTATCTACTTAGTGGTAATATCAGATACCGACGTTAAATTCACTGAGGTGTGATATCACAAACTGACGTTATCTTCTTAGTGGTATTATCAGATACAGATGTTAAAGTCACTGAGGTGTGATATCACAAACTGGCGTTATCTACTTAGTGGTATTATCAGATACCGACGTTAAATTCACTGAGGTGTGATATCACAAACTGGCGTTAACTACTTAGTGGTAATATCAGATACCGACGTTAAATTCACTGGGGGATGACATCACTTATCGAAGTTATATCACTTAGTAATGCCATCATACACCGACATTCTATCATTTAGATGTGACATCATACACCGACGTCATATCACTGATGAATGACATCACATACCAGTATTATATCATTTTTGTGGTGACCTCAAAAACTGACGTTTTTATCATTTAATGGTGATATCACATGCCGACGTTATATCATTTAGGGATGACATTATATGCCGACGTTATCTCATTGATGGGTGACGTCATATACCGACGTTATATCGTTGATGGGTGACGTCACATAATGAAGTTATATCATTGATGGGTGACGTCACATACTAATGTTATAGCATTGACGGGTGACGTCAAATACCAACGTTATATCATTGATGGGTGACGTCACATACCGACGTTATATCATTGATGGGTGACGTCACATACCGACGTTATATCATTGATGGGTGACGTCACATACCGACATTATATCAATTATTGGTGATATCACGAAATGACGTTATATCACGTGAGACTGGCATCACATGCAGACGTTATATCACGTTAGACTGGCATCACATACAGACGTTATATCACGTTAGACTGGCATCACATACAGACGTTATGTGACGTTAGACTGGCATCACATACAGACGTTATATCACGTTAGACTGGCATCACATACAGACGTTATATCACGTTAGACTGGCATCACATACAGACGTTATATCACGTTAGACTGACATCACATACAGACGTTATATCACTTAGGGATGATATCACATACGCAACAAACATGAGCGGAAATAATGTAACAGTCCGTTGTTGTTACACAAAAGTAGAATTTGACATACATATACCTACATCCTAACCTAAAATCAAAGTGCATACAATTAATTATGTCGAACATGATCCGAAATCAGATGGTTTAAATCGACCTACAGCGTAATATCTCGCAAAAAAACAACCATTTTTCTTGATAACAGAACAAATTGCTAGTAGTCGTTATTCCACTTACAGTGGCATATATCCCTGTATAAGAATCGAAGTATAAAACAAAACGTTACTCACCGTGGCCAGACTATTCTAGCAGAACCTTCATATCTCGAGTCCCATTTCCATGTCATCGAAGTATATATGATAATAAACATGTAAGCTGTCTTACAAAGATAGCATGTACAGTCCAGTTACAACGTGCATTCGAGCTTGCAAACGACAATTAACCCTTTCGCGGAATACTCGTTTTAAACACGACTAAACACGTCTTGGACTAGTTGGCTATACCGCAATCTTTCATTCGAAAAGGCATAGCGGTTGCTACCGACTGTCATTTTAGGGGCCGTTGTGTTGAGTTTGGCTTTGGTCAAAAATCAACATGACAAAATCGTTTGAAATTGGTTTTTTATCAAGCAAATTCGAAAAGTTCATCTTTGGAATTCTGCTGATATTGCAGGCATCATATGGTAAGTTTTGTTTCTGTTTTTGTGTTGTTTGTAATACAAGGCAAACAAGTGTTGTTTGTGTAATACAAGGCATATACATTTAAGAATTGTATGGGCGGTCATATTCGGCAAAATCACAAATAGATTAAAATAATGTAATATTTGATTATAGTTTTGACAAGGAAATAATCTATATCCGTATATTAGAAAACATTACTTGAAATAACCATGTGGACATTACCACATACTTTGAGAGAAAGTGATACCGACAACAATAAATAGTCAAATCTATAAATTGAGATTTATCAATGTTCAAACAAGCCGCAAAGTTGTCCTTACACTACTGACAAGTCCTAGAAGGACGAAAACACTGTATGATGTAGCAACACTGACGAGTCCTAGAAGGACGAAAACACTGTATGATGTAGCAACACTGACGAGTCCTAGAACGACGAAACAACTGTATGATATAGCATCACTGACGAGTCCTAGAACGACGAAACAACTGTATGATATAGCATCACTGACGAGTCCTAGAAGGACGAAAAACTGTATGATGTAGAAACACTGACGAGTCCTAGAAGGACGAAACAACTGTATGATATAGCATCACTGACAAGTCCTAGAACGACGAAAAACTGTATGATGTAGCAACACTGACGAGTCCTAGAAGGACGAAACAACTATATGATTCAGTTTGATTCATTATTTGACTCTACTATATTAAATTCTAAATTCTGTTGGAAGGTGCCATTCATTGTGTGGCTTTTGTACAATCTGCTTGTAGGTTTCTCACATAATCGGAAATAAGATTGGATCAATCTTTCCACCGTCGATATCCCTAAACATTGCTTATTGTGTCCGAGGTGGTGAAAACTGCCGGACATTGTTTATCAGTGAATCGATGTTTATCGTCAGCATATTGACCGAATATTTTGATTTTTATGGGGAAGTGGGACCATTTGGTTCTACTTGCCTGTTTCAGTAAAAAATCATATATACCCGATGTATTCGTCATGTTACAAGATACAAGAAATTTTATTTTCTGGCGTATACAATAAATCATGTAACATTAGCTCAGAAGAGCTATTATTGCGACAAAATAGTCGCTGTTTCGTAATTTTTTATTTTGTTGTAGAGAAACGATATTGTAAAGTAACGATTTTCTGATATGACATATCTGTGTAAAATGTTTTACGAAATTGTTTAAGTATATGTATATATGTCTAAACTAACGCAGATTTTTAAATGATACTTTTTCGAAGAATGATTTAAATGAAAAAACACACGAACGGTTTGCAAAGTTCCGTTCAAAGTTTGAATGTCAATCCAAGGTTACCCGTTGCAGAAAATATACCTTCATATTGAATTACAAGGTTTAGTTTTTATTTGACGTCATAGCTGTTACATAATTATGCTATAACTGTCCTCATACATAATAGTGTACAGTTTCATACTGTCGTAGTGCAATATTTGGCCTTTTGCCAATTGTTCCTTCGCTCGTAAACAGTGAATACACCGTCATAGACAAGTAAAGGCTGACACGCCCCTTTTGAAGATTACAAAGGAGCGGCACCCAACTTCTTCGAAGCCATTACATTATGCCATGGAGTATCGAGGATGGTATACCACATTGAGAGAGAGAGAGGGGGGGAGAGAGAGAGAGAGAGAGAGAGAGAGAGAGAGAGAGAGAGAGGGGGGGGGGGCAGCATTCCTACTCAACTAAACCCTCTATGATCTCAGCTAAAACATTTTTAAAACAAAAACACGGTATTTTGTACTCCGTTCATTAAGAAATGAACATCTGTCACTGATCTGGCTGTCGCTTGCATCCTCAATTGGCTACGCACCTGGCCTCATTCATCATTTGTGTAATCATTTTAATTATCACTTGTCAGTGTTATAAATACATACAAAATTCAATTTTCAGACTTTTAAATGAACAACGAAAACTTCCCGCGTCGCTCTATTTACATGTATACATCAACTAGTGTTAAAGGATGTTGTTATGAATGCTTATGAGCCGTAAGGCTTCAAGTTAAATACACTTTGTAAATAATGAACAATGACCGGAACACCAAACCTCTGCTCAGCTACAAGAAAAGTGATTTATTTCTTTAAATGTGAAACAAAAGAATTCAAACATCGCCGTGTACATTTCTCTTTTGAATATCAGTTTTTGAACGCAACACAAGAAAGCGAGAAAAAACAAAACAAAAACCTGTCATAGAAAAGATACAAAAGATCGTAATGGGTTTAATCCGCTGTCTTCAAGAATCACTTCCTCAGCAACATCATCGAAAATTAGTTTCAATCTGGAAACAGAAACAGTATTTCATTGTGTAAGTCTTCCAGTATATATATAAAAAAAGTACATTTCTTCCTATTTCCTACATGTTTAAAATTAATGTTTTCAACATTTGTTTTCAATATATACATTATGGCCATTACATCGACAAGCATTAGCCTAAGGCGATTAAAATTAGCTACATTCAAAATTCTCTACCATCTTCCACCATCTTATCAGTACTTAGATTATTAGTATTCTTAAATTTACTATTTATTGCAAATAAAGCTTTCCTTCCTTGGTTAGCTACGTGTTTCTGTGTAACATCAGACTAACGAGTATGTTTGCATTATATACACGTTATTAAATCAAATGCATTATGGCTAGTATTTTAAAATTTACATTTGATAGACATTTTTTATTATTTAACTCGCTAATTCATCGCTTGGTAAGGTTGCAGAACTTTATCTTACACTAGGTAGTTCATTTTAATTATCAGGTCAGCATTCATCTCTACCTGTAAATAGGGAATCTGCCTCTATTGACCTACTTCGGAAAGGGACTATACAAAAGACGTGCAAGTGAATCGAACCTTCCAATACAAATTTAGAGCGAGATAAAGTAGTGCCAAATACAATTACATCATACAGCTGTTTCGTCCGTCTAGGAATCGTCCGTGATGCTACATCATACAGCTGTTTCGTCCTTCTAGGAATCGTCCGTGATGCTACATCATACAGCTGTTTCGTCCTTCTAGGACTCGTCAGTGATGCTGCATCAAACACAAAAGTATCAGCGTGATGTCGCTTTAAGGGCCCACTAATTTTGTGTTACGGTTGATAATGCTGATGAAAAAAACATTAGAGTTTCTAGTTATTTGGTTCAATTGTATCATATTAAGTCCAATAGGAAAACACATAAGACAAATCTGTAAGCATGCCACAGGCCTGATACATCCATACACCGTCATCTAATCAAATTATCAATATAAGGGAGAAAACTCCTACAGAAATACATGTAAAACTTCACTACAAATTGTCACATTATTACTAATCGTATTTAACTTTTCAATTACATAACGAATTATCACAAATTGATATTATTTTGATAAAAATCATCATTTGAGAAATAACCGTTATCAAAACCGTTTTATCAAATGAAATATCCCCACAAAAAAAAAAAAAAAATAACGAAAAAAAACCTCAAATACACGTTGAATCAGACCTGTGTTTGGCACAGAGCCATAAATATATCTTTAACATTAATCAATATTCTTATGAAGAACATAAACATATAGAAAAGTTTCTTACGCACAATTTATCACAACTCATATTTGATAAAAACATTTGCACAGTGCGATAAACAGTTCAAAGTATTCAAATTAATGTAGCAATTCAATATTATAAAAAATAATACCAAATTGAGCAAAACACTTACATTTACAAGTACGTCCGTCACCTGTGAGACCACAAAGGGTACTGACAAGTATCTTCAAAGACACAAAGAAACACGCGAAGCGAAACTGGCCAGCGGAACCAAACCACATAGACAATAGAGCTAGCCAATCAAAACACATAACCATTCTACCTGACCCCTACCCGCCTCCCCCCCCCCTCCCCCCCCCCCCCCCCCTACCATATCAACGTCACAAAACATACGTTACGAGCACACACTCCTGTTAACGTGACATTATAACATAGGGCATAATACACAGGCGCGTATTTTTTGTTTTGTTTTTTGTTTTCATTTTAGTTTTTTTACACGAGCAACCGATTACATTTAGATAAAATGAATTATTTTACCTTGCTACAGTAACATAATTTTACAGGCCAGTACATACTTCAAGATATCCGTCTTTCCGGAGGGTCGACGGTTTACGAAGGGCGTGTTGAAGTGAAATACAACGGCACATGGGGAACCGTGTGTAACGATCAATTTGATGGCTTGGATGCGAAAGTCATCTGTAAACACATGGGATATGAGTAAGTAGTGTTTGCTTCAGTTTTGGAAACAAGATTCTTGACTGGGCTTAGCAAATCATCGAAATCTAAATAAATATATGGTAGCATGATATTCCATTCGCCTTCGGCGTATCTTCTTTTCTGGTGCTGTTTCTCCAAGAGAGCACGGTTTTCCGATTCTAATTGGTTTAATATTTTATTAAAGGGATAGCATCGTGTTCAAGTTTTATTACATAAAATAACGGCTTAGTAGATCGAATGGCATTGGACCGGTACAGTGAATCAATTAAAACACGTACCTTTGATCAGTTTATTAATTGGTTGCCTTCTGAAAGAAAAACAATCAAAAATGTTATTTTATGTAGGGATGGTGTAACAAGCCACACCTTTGGAAAAGGAACAGGACCTATTTGGTTGGACAACCTACAATGTACCGGCACGGAGTCTAACCTCGGTGAATGCCCATCAAACAACATCGGCTCACATAATTGTGATCACGAGCAGGATGCTGGAGTCATTTGTGAGCCTAAAAAATCTGAGTCCGCAGCTTTGGCAAGAGCAGCGGTGATACAGCCTAACGAATGTACGTTTAATATCACGTGCGAAATAAATCAGTGCTAAATCAATATGTAACTTCTACGACATTTTACGATTTTATCGTATTCTAACAGTACTTTACAGAAGAAATAAAAATAACAGTCGTTTTTTTTTTGGATATTGTGATTTTTATAGGCATTCAAGCGAAAACAGTATACTGTAACTTACATGATTCCATGTCATCATGTACTCTCTGTGATATGTTGTATTTTCCCTGAAAAAAAGAACGCTGTATTATGATATTCGTTTCAGATCCTCCAAACATAAATTTGACATTCCCTCTAAAGTATGTATACATAGGTGCAAAAACAGTTTTGAAATGTTGTTAACGATATATGTTTAAAGCCCAATAATTCAGGTGAGACGTACATCGTTATATTTCCATCTATATATGAGGTTTGCTGATTGGCAATTGTCAGTTGATCTATCGTTTAATAGGTGGGGATCATAACCCGAACACTCGACTTGTTGGTCCCAATGACACAATTGGTGTTGGATTTGTTGAAGTCAAATACAACAACACGTGGTGGGCAGTTTGTGATGACTTATGGAACATAGAAGCGGCTAGGGTAGTGTGTAGTTCTCTTTGTTTCGAGTAAGTAATTTTGTCTTAAATAATCTTTTGGGAATTATCGTTTAAAAATGAAAAGAAAAGAAACAGGTTGGCAGTTTCTTTTCACAGAGAGATATACATTGTAGCATGTTTTATTTTTGTCCTAAATAAGATCCGATATTTCTAATGAATAACAATTATTGTTAATAATATATTGAATATTATCGCATATTTTCAGTAAAATATGTATTAGGAGATCATGTTTACCAGGTCATTTTAGAGATGTAGATTATAAATCCTAGTGATCATTATAAAGCAAATAGATAGATCTCCCAAAGCGCATCGTAAACCCGCGTTGTCTTTTCCAACTCATTGTAAGCTATTATCAATCCAATTTAAAATTCTTTTGATGTTTTTGTGTGGTTTAGTCCAGTTTCTTTCATAAATAGTATACAAACCTCTGTAGGTGTAGGCAGATTTATAAGACAATCGACTGTGTAAACTATTCACTAATAAAGTTGGATGTGTATTCGAATTCTAACGTTTTCAGCACGGCACTCTCACTTACTGGATCAAGACACGATATTGACTACGTGAAGCAAAACGTTAGCCAAATATTCCTGCTGGATGACGTTCGATGCACCGGCTACGAGTCGGACATTCTTGCGTGTGAACACAGGGGGTTAGGAGTGCACAATTGTGATTTTGGGGAGTATGCTAGTGTAACATGTACCCCGATCCAGGATAACACCGATACAGGTATCATTTAAAACCTTCATCTTTACATACACTCTGACACCCGGATACATGTTCATTGATTATGAAAACCTGTTTGGGCTTGAAAGATGTTTGTGAATTTGTATACATGTATTTATAGTCTGCTCAGTAACAGCTGTTGCAAGGGGAAATGGTAAGCAGTGTAAGATAAATATATCACGAGCAAGATTTATATATTTCATCTTTATTCTTTGAAAAACAGGGATGTGATGTTTAATTTTTTCTAAAAAAAAATTCACTGTTTTGAAAATATATGCCGCTGATCTCCTGTTACGCTCGATATTTACGCATAACTTAGAAATTTTCACTTTCCAAATCATCTGAAAAAAACTTGTTTTGTATAATTTGTCTGTATAGATATCAACTTTGTGAGTATATTTCATTCAATTAGACTGACTGCAAGAACTGTCTAATTTGTGTGTATATATTCTAGTGCCGGAACCCTATTTAGACTGTAAGGATGAACAGTTTACGGTCAAATTTAGCCGTTCAGATGACGCTAACCTGACACCAAGTCGAGTAACTGTAAGGCATGCCAGAGATTCTACCTCGTGCAATCCTACATACTCCGAAACAACCGACCTCATCACAATGCTGATTCCATTTAGCGAGTGTGGCACTGATATTAATGTAAGCACAGTTAAACCACACTTCCTCTCTATAAAAAACATCTCTATAAAGACCGTATGTTTCAAAGTGATATAGGAGTAAGTGGTGGAGTAAGTGTAGAGGAGTAAGTGGTGAAGGAGTAAGTGGTGGAGGAGTAAGTGGTGGAGAAGTAAGTGGTGGAGGAGTAAGTGGTGGAGGAGTAAGTGATATAGGAGTAAGTGAAGGAGTAAGTGTAGAGGAGTAAGTGATGGAGGAGTAAGTGATGAAGGAGTAAGTGTAGAGGAGTAAGTGGTGGAGAAGTAAGTGGTGGAGGAGTAAGTGGTGAAGGAGTAAGTGGTGGAGAAGTAAGTGGTGGAGAAATAAGTGTAAAGGAGTCAGTGGTGGAGGAGTAAGTGGTGGAGGAATAAGTGTAAAGGAGTAAGTGGTGGAGGAGAAAGTGTAGAGGAGTAAGTGGTGGAGGAGTAAGTGGTGGAGAAGTAAGTGGTGGAGGAGTAAGTGGTGAAGGAGTAAGTGTAAAGGAGTAAGTGGTGGAGGAGTAAGTGTAGAGGAGTAAGTGGTGGAGGAGTAAGTGTAGAGGAGTAAGTGATGGAGAAGTAAGTGGTGGAGGAGTAAGTGGTGGAGAAATAAGTGTAAAGGAGTCAGTGGTGGAGGAGTAAGTGGTGGAGGAATAAGTGTAAAGGAGTAAGTGGTGGAGGAGAAAGTGTAGAGGAGTAAGTGGTGGAGGAGTAAGTGGTGGAGAAGTAAGTGGTGGAGGAGTAAGTGGTGAAGGAGTAAGTGTAAAGGAGTAAGTGGTGGAGGAGTAAGTGTAGAGGAGTAAGTGATGGAGGAGTAAGTGGTGGAGGAGTAAGTGTAGAGGAGTAAGTGATGGAGGAGTAAATGGTGGAGGAGTAAGTGTAGAGGAGTAAGTGGTGGAGGAGTAAATGGTGAAGGAGTGGTGGTGGTGGAGTAAGTGTAGAGGAGTAAGTGGTGGAGGAGTAAATGGTGAAGGAGTGGTGGTGGTGGAGTAAGTGTAGAGGAGTAAGTGGTGAAGGAGTAAGTGGTGGAGGAGTAAGTGGTGAAAAAGTAAGTGGTGGAGGAGTAAGTGGTGAAGGAGTAAGTGTAAAGGAGTAAGTGGTGGAGGAGTAAGTGTAGAGGAGTAAGTGATGGAGGAGTAAATGGTGAAGGAGTGGTGGAGGAGTAAGTGTAGAGGAGTAAGTGGTGAAGGAGTAAATGGTGAAGGAGTTGTGGTGGAGTAAGTGTAGAGGAGTAAGTGGTGAAGGAGTAAATGGTGAAGGAGTTGTGGTGGAGTAAGTGTAGAGGAGTAAGTGGTGAAGGAGTGGTGGTGGAGTAAGTGTAGAGGAGTAAGTTGTGGAGGAGTAAGTGGTAAAGGAGTAAGTGGTGGAGGAATAAATGGTGATAGAGTGGTGGAGGAGTAAGTGTAAAGGAATATGTAGCTGAAGAATAACTGATAGAAGTGTACACTGTAGAGGAGTAAGTGGTACAGGATGAAGCGGTAAACATATGGAGAAAGAATCGGACTGTTTTATTGATTTACATTATAATGGACCATATCAGTGTTCCACAAAATACAATCTCTCTTAATCTGATTCATTTCAGTACAATGCTTCTCATATATTCTTCAATCAAACCCTGATCTACAACGTCACCGGTAACCATGTGATCACGCGGAAGACGTTGTACTACGTCGCGCTGACCTGTGCATTTCCCCGAAACCAAACAAACGCTGTAAATTACACGGCAGTGCCTTCTGTTGTTCCTGTGAGTTCTTTGGGGGAATTCAAAGTCGTTATGACTTTGTTTGAAGATGATTACTTCACAGAACGGTTGTCGTCGCAAAGTTCCGTGAAAATGAGGCAAATGTTATCGGTGTCTCTGGAACTGTCGACGAATTCACCAGAACTGAAGATTGTGGCACGAACATGCTTCGCAACACCATCTGGCCAATGGACAGACTCCGTCCACTACACTCTATTCGAGGAGGCGTGAGTCATTATTTGGTTTAATTGTCCGGAAAATGTTCACATCAGCAAGTCAGATCAACAACTTCAAGTATATAATTTGCATAACAATATTCCTTCTCGCTTTAATGGCAAAGTTGTAGGATTAGCGACACGGATACAAATATTAACGTTAAAAATATAAAACTGATGATTTTCTTTTCAGCTGTGAAGAAGATCAAACGTTAGCCATGGTACCCATAAACGAAACCTTCGTCGGATTCCGGTTCGAGGCGTTTCGGTTTGTAGGCTTTCCGGAAGTGTTTATTCACTGTTCCAGTGTCATTTGTGGGGCAACTGAAAAAGATGAGCTTTGTGACCGAAGTTGTCAAACAGGAGATATAAATCGCCGTCGCAGAGATGCCAAAATCCGGAAAAAAAGAGACACGCATGAATGGATTTACACTGTCAGTACTGGAATAGTCATCAACGGAACTTTGGACGATCCAATCATTGACAGAGATACAGGTAGCATCTTTCGCTTTCACATTATTAAACTGAAGTCAATGTTATTACATAGATAATATACAAACGAATCAGACGCAAGTTATCAAACTACTCATTGCCCTCTCCATAATACAAGTATACAAATGTATAGCAATGACTTCATAATACCTAGTAAATGATATATCTTAACGGGGCTATTTAGTCAAGCAACGTTTTTTTCTATTCAACTGGAAATGAAAATATACGCGTCCAGACTAACAAATCTGTACATAATAGTTTTCTCCTACGTAGCCAATGTCCAGTGTGGTCAGTTTAAAATCTTGGGAAGCCAAAAATAGCGATAATCCAAATATAGCGCGAAACGCTGCCCCCTCTGGCGGGAAGAAGACTATTTGTAAACAAATGCACGCGATATGGAGACATCAAGTGACGAAACGGCGAGTCTGATTTCACGTTTACTCCTTTCGAAAGGAAATCATGTATTATGTACAGATTTGTTAGTCTGGTCACATATATTTTCATTTCCAGCTGAATTGAAAAAACGTTGCTCGACTAAATAGCCAGGACAGATTGCCAATTAAATTGACACAGAATAAACCATAATCAAGATTATCAATGTGTATTTTGTTCACTTTCCTTTTTCAAGATTCTTTAAAAACTTTCTCATCTGTGGCTTACTTATCTCGTATAAAAGAACCTTTTTGTTGCAAAATGGTGAAATCTCTTGTTTCCTGTGTCAAATAAATCACCGGTATTTGGTATGCAACAAAACAGGGCAATGCTACGGCGATAGTGAGGAATATTACATTATTCTCCATTTCTTAAAATTATATGCAGATATATCAGACACCTTTGTGGATAGGAAAGAGACACAAGATAATTTAGGTAACTTCCTGACTAAAAATGACACTGTTCGTGTTGTTATTTACGCCCAGACCTCGTTCGTCAGCTTGATCATTGTATACTTCTGTCACATGTCTGGAATAAAAATACTACGACATATGCCTAGCAGAAATTTGAGCCACAATAGCTCAGTCGGTAGAGCGATTGCCTGCTAACCTCATGTGAAGATTCGAGGTGCGTGTGTGAAGATCCGAGGTGCGTGTATGAAGATCCGATCGAGGTGCGTGGTTCGACGCTTCCTGATCGTAGCGGTTTGTGCTTCTCATGAACCTGAGAAACAGGCCGGACTTTGTCTTTGTAGTGTCCTTAAGCAATTCACTTTGTCGTTATTGTTCTGAATGGCACACGACGGACACTTCGTATGTTGTCAGATAAAGTGTTTAACGGCTACTATATAAGGAGACTGTAGAATGACTGATGACAGGACGATCCACAAATGAAAGTCTTCAGTATTACTTAAATCAATTTTAAAGGTATATGCATCTACTTTACAGCTTTAAAACATATGTGAATGTAATTTTTATACAATTTCATGTTTTGTGTTAATACAGCACAGGCAGTATCGAGAGTGGTCTCCGCTGTGTCCACAGCTTCTACAACAAAAGTCACCAAGTCCCAAAATGTCACCCCAGAAACCACTCCGCCGAACATTTCCATGTCTAAGAATGCCCCGAGGGCAGCGGCTACAACAACCGTCACCAGGTCCAAAAGTCCCACTCAGAAAACCACTCCATCGAGTGTGTCCATATCCCGGAGTGCCACGAGGGCAGCGGCTACATCAACCGTCACCAAGTCCAAGAGTCCCACTCAGAAAACCACTCCATCGAGTGTGTCCATATCCCGGAGTGCCACACCCAGTACACCCAGGCCCCATAGTCCCACCCAGGCAGCATCCAATCCAGATCGTGGCAGCTCTGCTTCAGTCACCAAGTCGACGGTTCGTATTTTTAGCTGTATATAAAATGTGTTGTATTTCATCAATTTTTTTAATTTACATTTTTAACATAAAATTTCTAGTCTTTGATGCTAAAATTAAAACATCCGTCTTAAATAGTCCGTAAATAGGCTATTTTAAAATACATGTACTGGCTAGTTCATGTTCACTCAGATTATTATTCCTTACAGGCTCAGCCAGCAGAATCGCTTCACAAACTAAGTGAGGTGGAGGAGAATCCTGCTGAGGATACCTTGATAGATGACATGTTGGTGGAGAATGTATCGTCAGCTTCGCACGCGGGAGCATCCTTTGTTACCTTGGTGATGATGGTACTGTTGTATCATATGCAGCGATTTCTGCGGGATATCATGGGTTACGACCCTTAGGGTTTATTACGTCGTAGGCACGTGAGCGCACAGGAAGCTACATTCTAAAACGGCACTCAACCCTCCTAAACAACATAGGAAACATATATTCGACCAATTGACCTCCTATCTGACTGATATTGATTAAATAGTTAAAATCTAGGACAGCGATACAAAAAAAAAAAAAAAAACACACACACCAAATGTCCTCCAGCATAGGTTTCACATTAAAGGGTTTTGCAGACTAGCTGGTAGCTTCTGGAACCCAGTTAGGTATGGCAACTGGGATAAATGGCAGAGCAATTTATTCAACACTGGACCAAGGACAGTATGACTAAACACAACCACAATAAAACAAGACCATAAACATAACACATACATCCCCCATGGTCACAAACAAGAGAAACCGTGCCCTTAGCATGGGGCGCTGTAGAAATACAATATGATCTCTTTTTAAGTAATCTACGCTAACCCAACTCCAGCACATTCTTTACCTCATCCCATCACATCCACTCTCATAACTGAACTTAATAACACAGTTCCCCACTTTTAAACCCACTCTAGAACATCATGACTAGCTAAGTCAAATGGTGGCTAGAACCCCGTCTAACAATAACAAACCTATACCCGCTAACAAGCTTAACCTATTTTCCAATTTCCTACTTTCCCATACGCTCCCTCCCGCTATCTTCTAAACCTCTTGTCTTTTGGAAGGGACGTTAAACGGGGGTCCGGTGTACGGTGAGTTACGCCGTGCACATTAAAGATCCTCTGCTGGTTTTCGAAAAAGAGAAGGCTAATTGCTAGCCGCCACAGAGTATAGGTTTTTAATAGGTAAACATAGAGTTAGACTAGAGTAGGAATAGGTGTTTCAGTGACAGTCCAAAATCCCATCCCCCCCCACTTTTTTTTTTAGAAGTTAGGGTATACAAGTAGCCGGATCTGCCCTCCCCACATTAGACCTGTTTGACGATTACTAAAAAGCGAAATTGCACACCTTTATGCCTCGGCTCTCCCAGCCCCCTCCCCCTTAGTGTTCTAGGCTCGGTTATAACCGGAACAAGGACGTTAAGCTCCAAAAAAGAAAGCACACAGGTGGGATGGGGTCAGTCATGGATGAGTGATCTGTACTAATACGGACTTAGTAGGTACCGTTTTACTTGGAGACCTGTACAACCATGGTTATACAGGCATCTGTTGTAGCCTACGGTACATAACATGTTGGACATACTTAATATTTGAATCTGTTATAGCATAGATATCCATGTTCAAAATTACAGACAAAAAATAGCCACCTCCTATGATTATTATAACATCAAGGTGTTACAATTCAGTTCAACAATATCTATTGAATAAAGCCATAACATTTTATTACATCGAATTATCGGATCGGAAGCGATTTACAGCATCTACCGTTAACTATATCTTAAAGTAACCCATTACACTAAGGAAAAGACTGACAATGATTAGAAATTGATTAACCACGGCATTTGAAAAAAAAACCCCAGTTTTTCTCTACTGTGGCCTCACCTCTATCCAATACAAACGCATAATACAGAGAAAATCTCGATTTCATGGAACTCGTACAATTTATTTCTCATTGAGGTTTACGACTTACATTTATAAACAGCAGTCAATTCTTTTATGTGATGTATTTGCTTGGTTGTTGCAACATTAATCCATGTTCTCAATTTTCAAGCAACAAACCCGTGTTATTTTTTTTTGCAAGTCCAATGTAATGATATACAATGTACTAAATGAGCCCTGCCAACATAATGAAAGCTTCTTTGAACCAAGTCTTGAAAGTCAACTATGTCGGGTAAAATCAAAAACGTATAGAAGAGAGATTTGAGACTGTTTTCTACTTTTCTTCGTTGTTTCAAATGCTAGAAAATGCATGTTTGTATCTATTTTTATATGTGATTATTACGATTGCATCGAAACGTGCTAATTTTAACATATAAATTGATATTTTCAGTACGATGAGTGTATTTTGGAATATTTTGAATTGAAATACTGTATCAATTAGAGTCAATTAGCCTTGGTGTGGTTATACACCATTTTTCTCCAAAATCTCCTAATCAATCTGTTCATAACAAACGCTATAGTAAAAATCTCAATTTTCAAATTGGTCTCCATATCTTTAATGACCAATATTTCTGTTTACTTAGTTTTTTTAACAAACAAAACGCGTGTTGAACCATTCACAACTGAAATATCATCCTATATCGAAGTAGTAATCGAGGTAATTTGTAAATCCGTGGCACTAAAAATCACAATAGTTTTCCGTTTAACCAATGTAATTTTTATTATTGATAATTTTAATATATTTGTATTATTTTTTGTTACGAAAATGAGATTCCGTTTTCACTGTTCGACAAATTGGCTCTGGTCAGGCCGGTCAGTGCAAAGACAGCATATATTTTGTAGTGAATGGGGCACAGATAAATATAACAAATGGACTATTTTCACGTCTCGATGAACAAACAAAAGTTAACACCAGAAAGGCATCCACTACACTCCGTAATATGTCCATGGGCTAAATGTCTGTTATATTTTTGAATCTGCGACCAAAATGTCTCTGTTTGATCATGTTTGATTGGGAAGGAAATTGATAACTCGTGGTTAACTTAAATAATTGAAACAATGTAGCAATAATGAAATTTGGAAATTACTAGTTGTAGCACCCTTTAATAGTAAATTTATAATTGGCCATTTTTATCATGTCATTTCTAATGGGACAGACGGGGATAAAAAAAGACTTGTGAAAGTTAACTGCCCAGAGGCGTATAGCAATTAGTGCCTATGTCCAGGACACGGGTAAACTTAATGACGATGGGCCAAGTGGTACATGGGCTATTTTGACAAACGTCTGAAATATAGGGATCTTTTCACTTAACCAACATTCTGAATTTGATGTCTCATATTTCATCTACGAGGAAAGTATCATATTCATTACACGTAAATAAAAGAATTTTTTTTAATCACCTGCCTCAAGTCAAGTGACATTTGACCGCCAGCAAGGGGTCTCACGTGAAGTCAGCCAGTATTTATCGATAACAATAATAAAAGAATTGCGTTTGTAAAGGCAACTTACTGGCCAGTCTTTAGATATATTACAAAAGTCAGTTTTATTGGACTACACGAGTTACCTGTGTTTATGATGCTTTCCTCTCCGTTTTGGTATGTAGTAATTTCTTGTTATTTGTTTATTTGTTTATTCTTGTTTCATATATTATGGTGATATTTGCTTTGTATATCATAATGTACAATATCGATGATTGAAAACAATTTCGACTTAAGTTTAATTAAACTTTAAGATGACATACATGTATAAAAATCGCCATCATTTAAACATTTAAAGGACCTATTACTTGTTACTTTCTAGGTGAAAGAAAGTCACCTGATCTCTCCAGAAAGTCACGAGAGGTTGTAAATGGTTAAATCGACATCGGGTCTAAAGTGCCGCCAATCAACATGTATGATTTACAACATACTGGAAAACAAATATCCACAATTTACAACATCTAACAAAAAACTGCACCTGAATATCATTTAAAACATTTAGTAACATATGATACACCACGTAGAGACATGTCATTTGTACCCAATGTTGATCCGTCCAGGCGCAGAAATCGAGTCGGATGTAGGTGAGAAGGGACGAGACAGGGTTGGGATGGGGATTGGGTGACTTTTTTTTAAATAATCCTTGGTAGGGATTTTTTCTCTCGTTTATTTCATTTATCAATGTTATTATTATTTAGATATGAGGGAATCCAAATGAGGGAGCCTTTTTTTAGTACCTTATCGTAACGTCTTAAAAAGTTTATAAACGAATATACAAAGTATCCTTTATCCAAATCTACAGGGAAGTGTCACAGGCAATTTACCCGCTCTACGGTCCGCAGTGAGTACACGTGTTTTTCATAGGTGTATAATTCCGGTGGCCCGTGGAACGGAGGTTGTGTGCCACGAAAGCTTTCAATGAAATAAGTAATTTTGTTAGCAATGAAATAAGTAATGTTTGTATCTGTTGTTCTACAGTTGGTTTAAATTGGTTTAAATATTACGGATGGACACAAAGATTCTACTGACATGTTCCTGAATATTATGTTCTGTGTGCCCTGAACTCAAATCTGTGATAGTTTGCTTGTTTCTATATATTCCATGTTTGTAATAATTAGGTTTTTGTTTGTAGACTTTTTCCCATTAAAAATCATTATCAGATTTGTGTGTCCATTTGTTTGTTTGTTTTTTTTGTGAGTGTTTTCTTTTTCTTATTTTTTAAATCTCAAATTGACATATTTTAGTAGAAGTCGGAAGAAAGACTATCAATATAACTGCTCATGGGTGCAGTGTCTTATTGTAAGCATTTGTTAACAAAAAACATATCTACTATAGGCAGAAATTATCTTATTGGACTTGCTTATTGTCGCTGTAAAAGAATTAGTTGTTTGGTGATAAACAACAGTTAAGAATTATCATTATTGATGAAACATTTTCCCAGCGCAACAGCTATAATGCCAAACAAATACAAAATCGCTTGTTTAATGTTTGATGTTTATGAATTCCTGAACTTTACAGATAGGCTACATGTAAAAGAAGAAGCCCAACGAGACAAGTATATATGTATCTGTGGAAAAAAATGTAGAAGCACGTATTTGATGCAATTTAAAATCCTTTTTATAAGAGTTGTCAGATAATTTTCTGTGGTTTGATTAAAGAAACAAAATCAATCTCTGGTTTGAATAAAATAATAAAATAACAGTGTCAGAAGTGGGATTCGAACCCACGCCCACATACGTGGACCAGAACACTCGAACCTGTCTAACAGGAAGGTTATACCTTGAGTCTGGCGCCTTAGACCGCTCGGCCATCCTGACTACTCTTTGTGCTTCCGCTTATACAATATAGATCAGGTTTACAATCTATAAATAGACTATTACGCGATCTTTTATAAGAGAAAATGTTGTGGCTGTGATTTTTTTTCAGCGATCAAGTTACCAATCAACTTCCCCTCCTTCCTTGCAAAGACTGTTGTTATATTCTAGCTGTTTTCTTGTTATCTCGGTAAACCAAAGGAAGTATTAACCCGATTTCTGTTATTGAACAGTGAAAGGTTATTTAATGCTAGAGAGGATGTCGTATCGTGTCCTACATTGTTATTATTATTTAGCCGTTTACTCTTTGGGCCTGCGGTGTTTCCAAAAGCTGCAGTAGAAGGTAAAGGTTTTTTTTTCATGTAATTCTTTTTAAAAAATAATTTAAACAGTGGGCTGCGGGAATGTAAAAAAAGCATTGACCTAAATGTAATTTGTAGATCTATATTTAAGTCCGTGGTAAAATAGCCGTTGAAAATGATTCAAATCCAAGTCTGTGAACAGGCATTAAGATCAATTTCATTTATTTACGGAGACTCCGAATCTACTGCACAGCACCGGTTGTGATTCGTGTAGCATAAGATAATCTTTATCATTCACGTACTGATGTTGTATTATCAAAATCCTAAAATAATTATCTCGTCCGGCAATCCCACACCGCATGGTTTTATTTGAGAAGCAGCCGTGTTACGACCAGGCAGTTTATTGTTTATTGAGAATTCACTGTCACAATGCAAGGAAAGAGCACATTGTACCATGGCGCTGTATAGCAAATCGGTACCGGTCATCTGTACAGCGCCGTATTATGCTGACTAAACAAAACAAATACCTTTAGAATAGAAGATCTACTGGTTGTGTTATAAAAACTTCTATTCTATTGACATCAAAGCTGAAGGAATTGTTTTGTAAGATCAGATACCAGTGGGCCTGCTTTGTGTATTATGTCATGGCAGAACGGTGGAGGCGATTGGATTACCAGATACAGGCATTTTTATTTAAGTGTCAGGTATTGATACAATCCGTGAGTAAATACAAAAGATGCAATGTATTAGAACTGCACCAATACCCTGACATATTTGGCTTATGAGACTATCACATTCGAGTTCACAAACGATCATTAAAAAAGACTATTTGATAGGAAATTTTGTCTTCTTTGGAACATATAAAACAAGGTTTTGGCTACACCTCTCAGTAAATCATCTTCTATCATCAATATTTAAAACATTAAAATTTTGTGACTTTATTTCTGCATATTTATAAAGTAATTGTCTAAGATCAGAGTGAAAACAGAATTAGTAAAAAAGTTTGTTTCATCCTCAACATAATTTAATGTACATTATTTACATTTTATTATCTGTAAAGGTATTTTTGGCCTAGAGTATCAAGAATCACTTCTACAATTTGATAAAATTCATCTATGAAACCTGTTTCGAACATTCTTAACATGATAATTTGTTTCAATTTTATCTTTACATAAGCGGTTAATATCATTGAAAAGACCACTTCTCCAATCTATCTGGTCATGGTCATCCAGTATCCGTTTAATATCACGATTTTTCTTTTTTGCAGAGCGTTGACTGGTCATAGTGTCTGCTAATTCAGAGTTGATGATATCATCACATTCCCTCCGCTACGAATTTGCAATAAGGTCAGAAGTCTTGTAAATATTTGTAGTTAAGCAATTTTCTACCTCGTCCTGTAGTCTAACACGTAGACGTAAAACTTCTATAATTTGCGTGCGATCTGTTGACAAGAATCCCATATCGCCTTGAGGAGGATTGGAGGTGTATTTACATGTCCATTTTGATATTCCCCGTATTGCTGTCCCTAGTATAGCACAGGCTTGACACGAATACGATACAGATAATAACTTGGTGTACACAGCATATAACACCTTATTCGCTGATTTAGTAATATTTTGCACTGTATACTTTAATCCATATATTCATCAAATGCCAATTAAGTATCGGTATGAAGTGTTACAGTCAATATGTTGGTTCCCAAATTTAAAATGTACGTAGATATTGGAGAGTTATTTCCCTTCAAGTGCAATTCTCTAGTTTTTTCCCCAGTGTTTACAGACATCCTTCACTTGCGGCACCGGGAGTTAACCACATGCAGCATTTATGTAGATTTGTTTCATCCTCAGTAATAAATGCACCGAAACTAAAATTCATATTGCAAAATTCATCATCATCATCATCATCATCATCACCATCATCTGATGAAAAATAAATTGGCATGACTCTCCATATTCGTTGGTTGTCGATTTTTTTTTTTTTTAAAAAAGAAAAGGAAATGTACATAAGAAGGACCAAGCTAAAATAAACCTGAATACCTTTTGAAGGTAAAGCAAATCAGGATGGCCGAGCAGGCTAACTTGTTACCTTTCACCATATTCTCGGCCCCTGTCGGCTATCAAGCATTTCACTATACTATCTAACCCCGACAGAGAGAAACGAAAAAGCAGTATAACTCTGAGATATAAAATGTCAAGCAGCATGTGCTTTACAAGTCAGGATGGCCGAGCGGTCTAAGGCGCCAGACTCAAGGCTCTTTCCTTCCCTTAAATTGGGGCGAGTGTTCTGGTCCACGTATGTGGGCGTGGGTTCGAATCCCACTTCTGACACAAAATTTTGTAACGTGAACAGAATAGCTTACCCATACTACTTACGAATGAAAAATGCACAAACATTATTTCATTTTTCTTTTCAATTTTGTGTAGAAAGCACACACTCACTCACCCACACCTACATCGTCATTTCACAGATTTGCAGCACAGGCACTCGAGGCCAGGATATTATTTTTTAAACGTTGATTTTTGTTTTAGCACTCATGACTGACGTTATTTAAACGAAATATCAGCAGAATTCAAGTTTATGTGCCGGTTGACAAATCCGAGGTCCACGGTCATTAAAAATACACAAGGCAAGCAACTCCAGATTTTAAAAAACACCCCTCGCTTGGAAACTGGCTCAAAAAAAGTAGTTATGATAAGTTCCTTGTAAAACAATATGTATCCGTAGGTAGTGTGTATATTTACCTTTTATTTGGTGCATAACATTACAGGCAACGAGAAATTCACAATACGTACATGAGATTAACATCTCAATAATCGGAGATTTTATCGTCCATGTAATTATCTTTGACGGAAGTAACATGCCATTTCAAGGGCGGTCACTCCGACTTTTTGGGAGAGGAGTTCCGGATAGCACTATACCAGTGAACAGGTAAGAAAGGTTCCGATGTCATTACGCGCGTAACTTCAAAATAGATATTTTTATTTCTACAAATACATTTGTGGGGATGGAAAAATAATGGCTTCCACAGTTGCCAACTCGGATACAATATCATGGTAAGGGATTATACAGAATGCATCAAATTTCAATCAAGCTGGCGGTAATGAGAATTTTTTTTCAAAAAAAAAATAGAAAAAAAAAATCATGCAGATAATGAAAAAAGGGCGCAATTTATGAAAAATATCGTGGGGGAAATATATTAACTTAGAAATTGGAAATTAAATGATTTTTTTTCTATTTTTTTTTTAAATGCCCAGCCATTATTTTTCCATCCCCGCAAATGTATTTGTAGAAATAAAAATATCTATTTTGAAGTTACGCGCGTAATGACATCGGAACCTTTCTTACCTGTTCACTGGTATAGTGCTATCCGGAACTCCTCTCCCAAAAAGTCGGAGTGACCGCCCTTGAAATGGCATGTTACTTCCGTCAAAGATAATTACATGGACGATAAAATCTCCGATTATTGAGATGTTAATCTCATGTACGTATTGTGAATTTCTCGTTGCCTGTAATGTTATGCACCAAATAAAAGGTAAATATACACACTACCTACGGATACATATTGTTTTACAAGGAACTTATCATAACTACTTTTTTTGAGCCAGTTTCCAAGCGAGGGGTCGATTTTTTAAAATCTGGAGTTGCTTGCCTTGTGTATTTTTAATGACCGTGGACCTCGGATTTGTCAACCGGCACATAAACTTGAATTCTGCTGATATTTCGTTTAAATAACGTCAGTCATGAGTGCTAAAACAAAAATCAACGTTTAAAAAATAATATCCTGGCCTCGAGTGCCTGTGCTGGAGACCACTCATAGATACACAACGCCCTGACATATCTCTCCTGAATCGAGTAATAATCGGTTTCTATTGTCTTAATACAATGGTCGATCTCTTTATAAACACATACATATCTATTGTAGATTTCTGAGTAACGCGTGCCGCCGGTTCTAATATGAATGCTATGTGTTTGATAATGCTATGTAATACACCTCCGGCACAGTGCTGGAGTCGATTGTGTTAGATATAACTTGTTTGATCAGGCAATGAAGATAATATATCGCTGTGAATTAGTCCTGGTAGACCCTGACAGGGTGTTATTTTAGCACCATGTATATCCTAAGTATCGTCTAAAACACGAGAAAATCTATACATTATATATTTTAATGGAGGTTTTACTTAGTACGACATCTTAACTGTGTCTATTTTTGCAAGCCTTGGCTAATTTCATAACATCATATTTCTTGTACCCATTTTTTTCACGTAAATCTGAAATTTAAACATTTGTGTAGGACATTTTGTTACAAATGCCATTTTTACTGATCTACGACGTCATCTTCCATATTATGACATCGCATGTACAACTGATTTCGACTGACTCTGACGATAGCTTCAAGGGCTTGTTGCTACAGCAACCAATGAAACAAATATTCGCTTGATAATAGATGGATTACGTGATGAAATAGGTTAATTATATAATTAAAATAACTGCTTAGAAAATATATGATTTAAAACAAAATTTGCTTTTGAAATTGGAATTGTTCCCGTTGCAATTTATGGTGATTTTGGACTTTTTAAATACATTAATTGGTGTTGATGTCCGGATCATATGAGCATATAATTTTTGATTACGTTTAAATTCAAAAGGCAGCAAGTTTCGCGTATTTCTTACAATGTGTATGGTTTCTGCTATTTTATAATTTTATTGTTGTAACACTACAGTGCTTTTTGATAAACACTGTTGGTAGATTGTTATATTCATTGTCACTAAGATTTGCCAAGTATAGTGGCACGGTTCAGAATATGGAAAACTGCACAAATTCGTGGAATCATGCTGTTGACATTTCGCTTTCGACCAATTTCGATTTTCCTCCTAGGTTTCAAAATTAAGGCCCTTGGCATCACTGGAAGGTCTTAAAAAACAGCTGTATCAACAGTAGCTAATTCTAAATTTATATTGAAAGGAGTACTATTCACAAAACTAGGGACAAATATTTTCCCTGTGTTACGTCACTGGTAAGCTGACTTGACTTTTGGCCAAGACATTCTGAATTATCAAGAAAAAAACGATGATTTTTTTTGTTTAGTATCTTCCCAACACCTTCCAAATGAAATGAAGGGAAGTACTTACTGTGGGAGAATCCTATACACTCTAACCGCTAAAAGGCCGAAAGGCCTTAATAGTGGGCATAAAACCCATTAGATAAATAATTGTTATGTCATCGTCCTGGGCAAAACAATGTACAGATTTTTAAAAAAATTAAACGTACCCACACTTTTGATAATGGTTTTAAAGTTTATTTTATTTATCAATTTAATATCAAAATGTCCCGATAAATTAGAAAAAAAAGTTTTAAAAAATATTGTTTTCGGTTTTATAAAGAATCATCAATGAAACTATTTTGATGCTTTACAGAGAAAAATACACTTCGTTCTAGCCAGTTCGCACAGAAGAAACAATTCAGCTATTGGTTTTTGTTCAACCTTCAGTTTTCTCTTGATAATTAAAAGTAAAATCTTTAAACTTTTATTCAAAGCTTTTCCTCTATGAAAACATAGATAAGAAAGTATGTGACATTATCAGAAACATTCCAAAATAATCATAATTCTCCCAATTAGATACAAGATGCTATGTAAATTTAGTAGAATACAGATGAAGGGTGGTAACTCTTCCAGGATTCAATGAAGTCTGAAGTCTCGCCAATAACGAGAACAAACGTATCTACTGTAAACAACATGGCTACCATTCACCATTAGGATTTCACTCATCATTTCCCTTATCACGTTGGAGTTATCGTTTGAAGGACTCGTGTTGTGTCTTTATTCTACGTATTTGTTTTATCAGAATGTTAAACAGTACAATTGAAATGACCGATCGATATGCGATAGTACACGTACGTTTAGGCTAATATACACCAACATTTTTAGTACAGTCATTTGATTTTAGAACCAATTTTGTATGACGTGCATATGTGTATCAGACATGAATTTATATATGACTGTGACACAAGGTAAAACGTAGGTGCTAGATATTCCTTCTATGGATATGATGAAAGATGTGTATCAATGAATATTGGGCCACGCGCAAAATTTACGACACGGTCGATAACTAAAACTGGAAGTCGCCCAAAGATAAGAGACCACTTTGCATAAGATATATTGGTGGTGACGTGAACAAGGTGCTGAATCTAGTTTATATATATATGGATATGCCAAGCTATAACCTATGTCATCAAAAGGATTTGTAGGCCATTAAATGTCAACGGATCCCCTTTGTTCTCCATGTCAACATGTATGTGTATCTGTAGGTCTATGTAAGCAGGTATTACAAGACCTTCAACTAACTTAAAACTTACTTATTGGATTTGACAAATGTCAGTTCTATCTATTCATACCAATGGGAGTTACTGATATTGTTTTAATGGTACTGTAAGTGTTGTCACAGACGAATCATGTTGCGAGGGCCAAGGGACTTCTCTAGTCTAGATTTGAAGCAGTTTGGTGGTCACAAAGATGAGGTAAGAATGTATTTCAGGCGTAAATTATTATTTCAAATCAGAATTAAGAAAACTGAAGAAAAATGATTTCAAAATATTTTTCTTAATTTCATTTGCATTAAAGGACAGAATTATATATATTTCAAGTCCTTTGATTCCTAACCAACATCATTTTATTTCATATATATTCAACTGTATTTTTGAACAATGCACATGATTTATTTGTTACACATTTTACTGAAGTATGTATACAGCTGGGTGTTATTTATTTTTAAGCAACCAATACCTTAGGCATATTTAAAAGATACATTCAATGAAGGACAAAGAATCTGTTATAGCTTTAGAAAATTAAACTTAATTCATGATATCCTGTCATACTGGTGCATTAAACTGTGCTTCAGTTTCTTCAAAATATAGGTTATAAATCAAAGTAATGAAAATTGAGGAGACATAAAGTGATTATATGGAGTGTCCAAGAAGAAATAGAAAATATGAAAAAATAAGGATACACTTTAATTTCAATTAATGTTTCAATCAAGTCTCTACATTTCGTATTCCTTTATTTTAATTGCTTTTAAGAGCTAATGGTAGGTTGAAGTGCTGAATGCTACTGTGAGATATCCTGGGGTGTTTTCTTGTGTATCTGATATAATGTACAGGTGAGAAATCAAACAGCATCTAGCTGACGAGTATATACTAGCGTATGTAATAGATATACTAATGAAATGTATTGAAATGGCCCATGATTTAATTTTATCTTCCTTGATCTGGAACATTGTACACATCAAACAAAACATATAACATTGCCTTTTTTTAACAAATGTGTTAACTCAAACACAGGCAAACTTATCATTTATGTAATCATTTTTTTTGTCTCTGGTTGTGATGACTATCAAAATGTCTACCCACAGGGACTTGTCATAATTAAAGGTAATCATGTAAGAATAGTTTGTGTATGAAATACACAACTGTAATATTGTGTGTGTATTGCTTTCCTGGTTTTATCGAATAGCTGCTAAAACTTGTAAATCACAATGTTAATCATAATTGTTTAATTTTTTTTTCTAACTATAGACAAAAATTAGTTGTACATTTATAAATATAATCATGCGTTGGTTTGTGTGCCGATCAGTGACCCAGTTATTATTGTTCATTGTTAAAACAACTAAAGGCATGTATTGGTAGATTTTAATAGTAGGCCTCTCTTAATACATCTTTGATATTGAGCCAAGGAAATATATATAAAATATAATTACTAACATCCAACCGCTCTGGTTGAACTGCGATAATATAGACCTTATGTATAAGTGTGTGAAACTATACAAAAAAAGTTAATAAAAACATCTTACATTTATAGTATTCTTTTTGTTAAACTCTTTTTCTCTGCAGGGACAGTAAGGACTAGTAAAGTTATTATTACAGTAAAGTAAAAACAAAAACCAGAAATATCTTAACCGATAAAAAGGAGAAGGTAGATTTATAATTACATTGTAAAAAGTAGACTGAATTGCACCACAGAAGGACCTTTTTTATAGAACTAGGTAAATTTTTAACTGGTCATGATAGTTTTAGATACAGGCCGCACATACAAGATGATTTAAGTGTAACAAAATCATCTCAGTAAGGCATTAACCCACTTTGCTGTAATACTGTCTATTTTTGTTCATGGCTCAATATGAATGGTTTTACAATTACATGCGTTTTTGTTGGCACTTGTTTAGTGTAAATTGTATAAAAATGTATATTGAGAGTAACTACGAAATTAAGGAAAATAAAACCTCCATGAAAATAAAAAAGTTTTATAGTATATAGGACTAGTTTTGCTTTTTGAGTAGAGGCCATCAGGGAATTGATAATCTATTGTCACGGTGTACGTGGGTGGAGTACATAGGTCCTAGGGCTGTTTCTTGCCTGGAAGCTCCAGATATCACCGATCGTCCTGTGCTGTGGTAGTTATGTCGTCAGGTTAGACACTTGACCCCTAGTGCTCTGCATAGTGTATTGTGGGCCTTCCGTTTGTTGTTCAATGAAATTAACACCAGCTGATACATGGAGACACCAGGGCTGCTATGGAGCGTTAAACCCAGCAAACAAATAGATAAACCTGAGTTTGGGGTCAAATTGACCTCAACACAGTATGGACCCATATAGCATTTACTTATTATCCATGATCTTATGAAACTTTCAAAGAGTTTCTGCAAAGAATTAGTTCTTGAAACTATGTACATTGGTATCTAATACTTTTTATGCTAAAATGATCTGACAAAAATGCTTTTCCCTTAAAAGCTCCCAGTTCTTTGTAAGCACCTTTAAAGTATCTAGTTTTCAATCAGTGACTGAAAGAAGAAAGTAAATGTGATTATGATGACATGGTATAATTCATCTAAAGCCCAATGATTTTTATTCATTATCTTTCTCCAGGTGAACAGTGTAGCTTTCTCCTTGGACTTCCAGATAATGCTTACAGGATGTGATGATCAAAGAGTACGATTATTTAATGCTAAGACGGGATGCATGGTGTGCAAGGTCAAAGGTCATACAGGTAACCTTAGCAAAAGAGATTTGTAGGAGCAATTAACAACCTTTTCTATGTAACTTTAGAAAGCAGCAGGGATATCTACTTAATAAACAATACTCATTGTCTTTCTGTAAGATATCATTAAGTCAGAATCATTCAGATGTTCTATCAACTTGTGTATGTTTATCTGGATTCAACTTAAGAACAGTATGATAGGATGCCAGAATGATGTGGAAAAAATATCATTGTGTTGGTGAGGAATTATTGAATTATTGAATTTTTAAAAATGAAATTTTCTAATATTATGTTCAGTTCTGATGGTCTTTTAATTCTTGTGTTTTCACTTACTCCTTATTGTACCAAGCAGCTTTGTCTGTTAGATAGTATTTATTAGATAGACACCCAGTTTGTCTGTTGGTGGTATTTATTAGATAGACACCCAGTTTGTCTGTTGGTAATATTAATAAGATAGACACTCAGTTTGTCTGTTGGTGGTATTTATTAGACAGACACTCAGTTTGTCTGTTGGTAGTATTTATTAGATAGACACCCAGTTTGTCTGTTGGTGGTATTTATTAGACAGACACTCAGTTTGTCTGTTGGTGGTATTTATTAGACAGACACTCAGTTTGTCTGTTGGTGGTATTTATTAGATAGACACTCAGTTTGTCTGTTGGTGGTATTTATTAGATAGACACTCAGTTTGTCTGTTGGTGGTATTTATTAGACAGACACCCAGTTTGTCTGTTGGTAGTATTTATTAGATAGACACTCAGTTTGTCTGTTGGTGGTATTTATTAGATAGACACCCAGTTTGTCTGTTGGTGGCTTTTATTATATAGACACTCAGTTTGTCTGTTGGTAGTGTTTATAAGATAGACACCCAGTTTGTCTGTTGGTAGTATTTATCAGATAGCCACCCAGTTTGTCTGTTGGTGGTATTAATAAGATAGACACCCAGTTTGTCAGTTGGTAGTATTTATCAGATAGACACCCAGTTTGTCAGTTGGTAGTATTTATCAGATAGACACCCAGTTTGTCAGTTGGTAGTATTTATCAGATAGACACCCAGTTTGTCAGTTGGTAGTATTTATCAGATAGACACCCAGTTTGTCTGTTGGTGGTTTTTATTATATAGACACTCAGTTTGTCTGTTGGTGGTATTTATTAGACAGACACCCAGTTTGTCTGTTGGTGGCTTTTATTATATAGACATTCAGTTTGTCTGTTGGTAGTATTTATTAGATAGACACTCGGTTCTTGTATTATAAGCATTTTTTATCTACGGAATAATTTCTTCTACAAGTTTTTCTGATCAATTTTCTGGAGAACTCAAATCTCATAAATGATAAAGTTAACCTTTACAAGATTTTGCTTTCAATTTTAAATAAAATGTAATAAATTCCTTCCTGATACCTATACCAGTATGTGTACCTACATGGCTAAACACAATGTACTTGTAGCTTTTTTCTTGACTGCATTTTTTTCTTTTTTGAATCTTTTGAAAGAGATTTGTATCTTACATGTACTTTATCAAAAACGCATTTCTAAAAAACCTAAAAATTGAGGATGTAATTGCTTGTTTGTGAAAAAACAGAAAAATCCAAAATATTAGCTATGATTACTTTTATGTTTAAGGAACTAGTAATGGAAGGTAAATATGATATGATTAGTGAATTTATAAAATACTTTGCACCAGTTAATGACCCTAATGACCTTTAATGTGTTGACGGGCCATTAAGATTGTAATAATAATAATAATATTCTGAAATTGACATCATGTGATTATTTCCCTTTGACCAGGTGCTATAAAAAGTGTGGCTATCAGTCCTGACAGTAAGACATTTGCCAGTGGATCTTATGACAAAACAATCCGACTTTGGAGGACCCGGGATGCTGAATTACTACATGTGTTATTTGGTAAGCACTTTTATATCTGTATTTTTAGAAGCTTTTAGCACTGAATACTGTTATCGTCAAACTTTTGGATTTTTGATTTTTGGTTTGCGACACAAGATTTAAAATGTAAATATTGAATTTAATCAGAAAATTATCAAGAAAAAAAACTTCATTACCTTATACTATGTAGGTACATGAATGAACAAAATGTTGTATACTGATGATCAAACACTTTAAAAGTTAAAGTAAAATTGAAGGAAAAATCATATATGTACCTGCATATACTTACCAGAAAAGTGAGTTTTCACCAATTGATGTAAGATTAATCAGCTAAAGTGTGAGTTTTTTTCTGAACATACGCCGATACAGAGGAAATGTGAAAAAAAAAATAAGGCAGTGGGATTATTCTTGAGCATGGGGATGATGATGCTTAGTTAAATATCAGGATTATATGTTTTTAGCAAATCATTCATTTATTAAGAGATAAAAAAAATGAAGTGACAGTCCCCATTATAAAGGCTAAATAAATCTCCCTCACAAAAGGTATTCAGTTGTTCAGGGGTTTGAGAGGAGATATATCCATGCTTTCATTCAATACCATATGATTTGATTTAAATTATGAGAATTATAAATGTATTGATTCGTTGATCGGCAGGCCACACTAAAAGTGTAGAAGTGGTAGTATTCTCTCCAGATTCCTCTCAGATCGCCTCCGGATCCTGGGACAGGACTGCTATACTGTGGGACGTTGAGGTACTAGGTCTTATTCTAAGTCTTTCTGACAATTGTTGACCCTCTGTGAGGAAGATACAGATGTTTATCAATGTTTGTTTTTGGATAATCGAAAAAATAAAATGTGACCAAGCACCACATCATGGTTGACAATTCCTGAAAGGCTTGTAATTACTGAAGCAAATCCCATACAATATCTTAAAGCAGAGAGAAAAAAAGAAAAATTATATTCAGATAAAGCTTAGTATTTCCATGTAGGTTAAAATTATAGACAGACAAAGCTGATTGTACCTTTGTAGGTTTAAATTAATGACAGACAAAGCTAATTAAATCTCTGTGTGTTAGAATTATAGAAAAACAGAGCTTACTATATCCATGTCGGTTTAAGTATTTGGAGATTTCTCCTTACATACCTGAACTTTCCATGTGAAGATTTTGTTGTGTTTTTTTTCCAGAAAGGATTTCCAGTTAGGATATTTTCTGGACATGATAGCTTAGTTCAATCAATTGCATTCTCACAAAATGGCAAATGGTTGGTAAGTAGTAATTCATTTTCATTAACAATCTTAGTTTAGCATTTATTGCTGTACATGTTTTTCTGGTTGAAAAAATTTGTGAAATCTTTGAAAATAAAATATGAGAGACAGGAAAAAAACTGAACATTATAATACCCATCTACTATAAAAATTGATACCTGGACAGTGTATGAATAGAGGATGTTTCTGAATAAAAATGCAGATGCTTTGTTATGTGATATTCAAATAAAGTTAATATAAGTACCTTGGTAATGCTTGGTTAGAAACCTTTAATTATTTCAAAATTTCATTATTATTTTGAAAAAAATTCTTGAATACTAGATTTATCATAAATTTGTTACTGACATAATTCCTTATGCAATATTTTGGTTTCTAGGCAACAGGGTCCTGGGATTTCACTGTTCGAGTGTGGACTCTGACCAACACAGAAGGTGAAGAGGATGTCAAGGTCTTAAAGGGTCACCACGGTAACGTGCATGCTGTGGCATTCTCTAAGGATGGCATGCTGGTATGTCAGTCATTAATGGTTCTGAAAAATGTACCCTTTTTTCTTTTTCAATTTATGTCATCTCCTCAATGTTGTATATTGTACTGATTTGCTTAAAAAATAAGTGTGATCACTTTTTTTAAATTGTTTGAAAGGTTCTGTATCAATTTTTTTTTTAAAGTGTTTAATTAGTGTAGACTAATATAGATTTAAAACATGAGTCAGCAATGAATGGATTTGTGAGATTAAATTTTCTAGTGGATGGCTATATCCTGATATTTGTATTGATATGATCAAGTTGCTTGCATAAAGTATTTTAATACTGAAAAATATTTTAACAATAAATACAACATTTGTTATTCCATCACGTTTATGCAAATTACTAAAAAAAAATGGCTATACTCTCTGGTATTATCAGTATCATTTTCTTCTATCATTCTTTAAAATAAAGTTAGAGATATCAAGCAGAACAGCATCAGAGAAGGTACTTTAATTTACTTACTACCATCTACTGGTTTTGCCATCTCCGGGCATCCTAATGAAGTCTGCAGAAGTCCTTATGAAGCTCGGAGAAGGTGAAACAGGTAGATGTACTAAAAAAGTTAAAGTATCTACTCTTACAGTGGTGAGTGATATTTCTGACTTGATTTTCCCTACTGCTCAGTCACCCTGCAACCTTGGGTATCCAGCTGGAGAGTAAAGGAACCTACAACCCGACCTTCTAATACAAACAGGGTGGGCACTACTGCCTTAACCACTCTTTAAAATATATACTTACTTTACGACACCTCACTATTAAAAAAACAGCCAGAAGTAGAGAGCACACACAGTTTTACTGAATTATATATATATGTGGTCTTGATAGTTGAGCTATTACAAGGACAACTGTTGAAATATTATTAGAGGGTTGTTGAAAGCAGGTGGTTTTTACATCAATGTGGTCCTGAAAGAAGGATGGTCTTTATATACAAGTGATATCTATAGACAGATGTACTTACAGATATGTTACTGATATAGCATGGGCTCGTTATATAGGTGATCTTTAAAGAGAGATGATTTTTATAGACAGGTGACCTTTGTACACATGTCGTCTTTATAGACAGGGGGTACTTATAGTCAAGTGAAAAGTGAGACATGTTACCTTTGTAAGCATGTGGTCTTTATATATAGGTGGTCTTTATAGACAGGTGACCTTTGTACACATGTCATCTTTATAAATAGGTGGTTGTTCTATTCATGTAAAGACAGATGATACTTCTAGACATGTGATACAGACTTGTTACCTTTACAAGCATGTGGTCTTTATATAGGTGATCTTTATAGAGAGGTAATCTTTATAGACAGGTGACCTTTGTACACATGTGGTCTTTATATATATGTGGTTGTTATATATAGATGTAGTCTCTATAGACAGGTTATCTTTATATACAGGTGATCTTTATAGAGAGATGGTCTTTATTTACAGAGGGTAATTATATATGTGTGATTTTTGCTAGCATGTGGTCTTTGTATATAGGTGATCTTTGTAGACAGATGGTACTTAAAGACAGGTGACATTTTGTAAGCATGTGGTCTTTATATATAGGTGATCTTTGTAGACAGGTGGTACTTAAAGACAGGTGACATTTTGTAAGCTTGTGGTCTTTATACATAGGTGATCTTTGTAGACAGGTGGTACATAAAGACAGTTGACATTTTGTAAGCATGTGGTCTTTATATATAGGTGATCTTTGTAGACAGGTGGTACTTAAAGACAGGTGACATTTTGTAAGTATGTGGTCTTTAAGTGGTTATTGATATACTTTAAGTTGATTTATGGACTGATGGCCTCTTTGACAAACATTCTTTATTGACAAGTGTCTTTATAGGCAGATGATTATAAAGAAAACTATTGCTATGTCATTAGATAGTTGTTAAAAGGGATGGGCTGTTTAGACAGGTTGTGTTTATGGAGTAACGGCCCCTACCTACAGGTGTCTTAATAGACAGAGTAACAAACAGTTACAGTTAGTAGCTTTTATCATCAAATGATCTTTGTAAGAACTGATCTTTGTTGATAGATAGTGTTTGGAGCAGATGTTAAAACTTAACGACCATATCTCATTGTCTAGGCGTCTGGTTCTTGGGATAAGACAGTGCGTATGTGGAACCCTAGTAATGGTAAATGCATTCACGTGTGTGAAGGTCACATTGGCTGGGTCCAAGCTATTTCCTTCTCTAACGACGGTCTTTACGTCGCCAGTGCCAGCGACGATGACACTGTCCGTGTCTGGGACGTTTACAGCGGCAAGTCCATTAAAACATTAGAGGTAAGTTTTGATTGATAGATTCACTACTGTGTCCTTCTCGCCATCAAAATGCATAAATGTCATAGCAAGCATGTATCCCAACAGAAAAAACCCCATGAAAGTATCTCTTGAAATGTGATCTGTTGCATCTAAATATTTCTTATCCAGCTGTAAACTACATATTTTTCCTGCAATATTTTAAATTGAAGAAGACACTTACTTTTTATGTGATACTAATTGATATGTGTATTTGTTTCTCTACTGCAGGGTAAGACAGATGTGGCTCATCAGTGTGCATTCACACCAGGGGGAGCTCTTGTAGCTTCTGGTGCAGCATCAGTAACATTATCGCTGACGTGACGTGGACATATGTCTTAGCTTTATATATAAATATAGATTGACTACAAATGTTATGCTATGTACTTGAGTATTTGGACATAATGTTTTATGAGTATTTTCATGGTATTATGTGGGAATTGATTTACATTTAAGTGACTGCTGCAATATATTTTGTCTCATGTTGAAAGAAAAGACCCTATCTGACTGATTATTATTGTGATCCTAAGAAAAGGACAAGATTAAGTTGCTTATTCATAAATATAGATATTTCAATAACAGACGGATTTTTTCATAATGATATTAAAAATAGTTGGGATAGGGGTGGTGGGGTGGTAAGGAGGTAGGGAGGGGTGGGGTGGTGGGGGTGGGGGTTAGGAGGTGGGGGGGATGTGTGTGTTATTATTCCAGATTTGTTTTGGTTACAGTCTCAACAGATCACCCAAAGTTTATTGTTGAAATTTGTTAGCTTGCAAAAAATGGAGCCAAATTTGCATAGCTTCCAAAACCTCATAATCAAAAGCTTTTCCTACAAATTCATGCCAGTATCAGAAACCATTATAATGCATAGCCAGCACCTATCACATACCACAATTGATGTTTTGGTATCATAAAAGCACAGAGAAGAAGGGTTTTTGTGTGTGGACGGTAAAAGTAGTATCAAAAAACTTGTTGAATAATAAATAGAAAATGATTCAAGTTAAATATGATTATGTTTGCCAAAAATATACTTTCTTTTTCGAAATGAATAACAGATCAAGTGTCAGTATGTGAATGGCCTAATTGTTGAAGGGTACCTGTATGGTACTGTGACAATTATGCCACACTTGAGAGCCAGTGAACAGTAATCATCCAATTGTCTCGCTGGCAAACTTCTTTTACTTCCAACCAATGTATTTTACAAGCATCCGACACAAAATGATTCTGGCATGTTATTACATATCTTTGTAATGGTCATGGTTTTCATACGATAATTATATTTATAAAAAACCAGAAAAAAAATATCTGTAGTGTCTTCTTGGAGATGCCAACATCTGATACAAAAAATGGATATTTGAAAAAAAAAATGTGAAAAATATATTTTGATATTTAGGATATGTGCTTTAAATTGTGCCAATAAATTCAGGATTCTGAAACATATTGTCTAGGAATTCATACGAACATTTTTATGTAATAATTTATTTACTTTGGTGTTAAGATATGTTGTATAAGAATACTGTACACACATATTTGCGTTAAGGTACATTGTGCAATTTATAGATTGTGCGTTGTTCAACTGTATCAACAAAGTGCATTTATCGTAAACTTTGGTGGACTGAAGTATTATAAAGTGTTGATACATGTGTTTTATTGGCTAATGAACTTGTTGCACATTGGGAATAAACATATTGAGAAATCTGTTTATCCATGTACATACTTTCTGCAGTAAATTTTTGGTTTTGAAAGATATTAGCATACATCGGTGTTGGAGTTTGAGGTAAGATAGTGTGGAATCCATTGAACATCGCCGACATATTATTTATCGTTGATTATGATCAGACTTCAGAACTTCCCCTTGATTCATGCTGTGTAGTATACCTAGTCAATCGTTCTAAGTATTCATTGTACGGTAACGTAAATGTGTATACACCATTTTATACTTCCACAATAATTGCTAGATAGACCACATATAGAAATTGGTCTCAGCGCAATCGTGTTTCAGTGCAGTACTTTCAGCGTAAAAATAGCCTTACTAACGAAACTTATGATGCTTGTCATTAAAGTGTATGTGAAAATGCTATCAAAAACAGAGGATTTCACAAATCTTGCATAATGTTCAAAAGTGCATTTCGTTGCATAATCTTATTTTACAAAGAAATTAAAGTGTGTGGAACGACAACTATGAAATCTATGTTAAACAATGTCGAATTTCACTTTTGTATGGAGATTTCGGAATATAGTTTTGAAAGTGGAGTGTTCGTAAATGAAATGATTAACATGACCATCATTCTGTGTTCATCCCTTCATGTTTAATTTCATTGCTTCAACATTTCTGAACTATAGAAATGATTAGAATTCTTTGATGCTACTAGCAAAATAAACGGCAAAGTCTTTGTTATATATAAGATGTGAGAACTTCTTTTCTTCAATTTAAATGTAGCTGATATCGGTCGTATTATTGCGTAAACGTTACACGCATACGTTCATAGTTTGAAGCTTTGGTTAAATTAAGGAGATGTAAATTTCCCTTGTATCTCCCGGATTGTAGTGTTAAAGAATATATAATAATTTGTAATATACTGTAATAAAACCCCGGACCACTTGCATCCTATGAACATTAATTTTTAATGGGATGTAGTGATTTTAAAGAGGTTATTCCGAGTAAGGGATTTTGATAGAACAGCTGCCTTAAATAAGACTTTTGTATTGTATATATCAAAGTGAGTCCTCTTTTGTTTATTTTTGCTTTTTGTTTATGTCTCTGTTCTCACTGCAAGTCTAGTCATTGGCACGTAATTTTGTTGTCCACGCGTTTGTTTAAAACTCATTGTTAATTGAAATTGTTTCCATTATCTTTAATATAATTCCAATATATGTGTACATTTTTTTAATTTTATGTATTTTTCAAATTAAGTACTTTTATTTGGTAATTTCTCAATTCTTGTAAGGCTGATAACAATAAGCACTCTGTATTTACATGTTTATCTGTGTTTATGCTTTTCTTCGATATATGGCACAAGCGCTTTTGTAGTGTAGACAATGTATTTTTATTCCTTCTGTTGCACAAACCTGTATCATTTTGATGTTAAAAACCCTAATAAGGCCCAGATTTAACACTCTTTATTTTGCATTAGATAGTGAATGATGAAAACAGGATCATATTGACTATTGAAATGTAATGTTGTTTAATTTCAAGTCTTGCCAAAAGGAAGTAAAAAAAAAAAACAACCTGCTAATGTATATGCTAGTACATTGAACGACCAGATAGAATTGTTAAGTAAGTCTTATTTCATTTTTAGCAGGGAGAGTAGAAATAAATAATGCCTTTTAATTTGTTGGGATGGACACGTTGACATATTTTTATCTGCTTACTGTAACACATCTATGCAAATATTTGCAAAGCAATTTTGAAATATGTCTGTCTACGAAATTTGTTCAAGAATGATATGCTGATGGCTTAAAAAGATGAAAAAGAAGTTGAAGAAACATTTTCATCAACGAAGAAATTAGGTATGTCATAATAGCTTTTGTTAAAAAACATGTACATTCGAATACCAGGAAAACTCAGATATTTCTAATAATAGACAGTATCGAAATGCTATCTGTAACTTATTCACCCAGGTAACCTGTTGACAATTGGTCATATTCTTAATGAAGTAAAAGAGAATTTGTACTCAGACATCAATCAGGTATTGACATTGCTCTTATTGAAAAGAAATGTATTAAATATTCTTTATATATTTATTATTTATATATAATCACATTTTGTTTATTCTCATTACATTATTTATACCAAAATAAACCTTTCAGTACTGGAAGTTTATCTTTTTCATGAACAACGTTTCCATTTCAACACCATACCATGAACTTGATTAAGGATGTACGGAACTCTTAATTCAATAGACAAGTATGAGATGAATTCCAGCGTAGTATCTTGGACTCTTGTGTCTTTACATACTTTGCAAGTAATGTCTTTAAGCCGAAATATGGTGCTTTATCTATTTATTTTTAATTTTGGACTACTTAGTTCGTAGTTGACGTCGTTATTCGGTGACCAGTGTCAACATAATGTATAATTCAATATAGATGCGCTCTTGCGTATTAATTTCTGGAAGTCACGTGTAGATTTCGACAACATTTTGCATGAATTATCACCACAAATCACATATTTGAAATACACGAGTCTTAAACCTATAGAAATGATCGTCGACAATCTAAAAGGGTCGACATTAATGTAAAAAATCAGACTGAGATATACAAATTGCGATAAAATATGATGATGTAAATTTAATAGTTATATGCAAGTTGAAAACGAAAATGAAAAAAAATTTTTGCAGTTTTATAAAAATTGCCTAATTTTGTTACATTTTAGTTCATTACGTATTTGACAATATTGTTCCTATTTCACATTTGTCACCCCAAACGCGACACTTGATGAAATAAGCGACTGTAATAGGACGTAGACTTTACATCAAGCTTTTCTTCCGATTTCATTTAGTTACAAAAGAAATTATGTTTTAACTCCGTTCAGTTGCCAATTTCGATAATATCATATCTAAAGACTTTTTTGTACTTAAACACTAATCAATATGTATTTTATTTACTCTAATATGTTTAATTACTTGGTGGAAAACTCCGCATGCGAAAAGATTAATGTTAACCCACTATGCATTGCTTAGTATGTTTTAGCTTTAACACATGTACATGTATACATGACAATTTCGTTTCTGATGAAAAAGGGACATATAGAAGTAACTGGATAATCAAGAAGTTGATAATATCATGATTTATTACAAAATATGTACAATGACAGTCTAATAAATAACTGATTAATATTTTGTAATTATCCTCGACTTTATAAAAATTATGATTTGCCAAAAATACATTTGATCCGTTGTAGTAACGGTGAGTTCATGCTTCCAGCAGGTCACCACAGTGCGTGCAGCATGATAGTAAAACAGGATGCCAGCATACACAATTCGACACCTACATTTAACTGCCGAAATCCCCCAAAAAAGAGAATCAGCATCTTCAAACTGACATACTGTAAACCAGCTTCCTTTTTGATACTTCTAACTTTCGAGATTTTTGCATCACAGACGATTAAGTTCCAAGAAGCATACTCTGTATGATGTGCTATTGTGAAGTGTTTTTCGTACCTGTTCTCATTCACAACTAAAATTGCACACGATAAAATAAAGGTTTACTTTATCATCATAATATGTATGTCCATGATGAATTCACATTTGACATTATAAGCCATTACTTTCGATCAACACTTTCTGCAGATTTTGAAAAGAAAAGTTTTGTTCATGCAAATGAGATGAGTGAAGCGTTATCGTCTTATCTCCGACAGTCTGTTTTGCGTGGCGATCTTTGTGTGGCGTAACACGAGAAATCGGTCAGAATGTTTGTGTGATTGTCTCATCCATGCTTTAAAAAGCACTACACGGGCCAACAAAATCACCAATTCGTTACATGTCTTCGGTAAGACTCGTGTCTTTTCGAACGAACAAATACATATTGTATTCCCACGAAGTATCTTTCAAGCACTCAAGGTTTTCAAGCATGCCCAATCTTTGAATGTAATAATCAGACCCAGGCGGGTAGTTTATTTACGAAGTATTAGGCCTGTGTCTAGCGCTTCTTTGGTGTGCTCTTAGACCTGCCAGCTGAGAGTAAGAGTTGGTGCAGATCTGACACCGGTATGGTTTCTCACCTGCAAACAGAGAATGCTTGTATTAAAATAGCATATATTAAAATAAAAAAAAAATATTATTTTTAATTTTCAAGAACATTTCACACAGCAATATTAAAATATTTATCTGTTTACAAACCTGTATGTAGTCGAATGTGATTTCGTAATGTCGAAGATTGGCTGAATCGTCTGTTGCAAAATCTGCATGTGAATGGTTTTTCTAGGGTATGAATGCGCATGTGCGACCGCAGGTTACTTCTTGAATTAAAACCACGTCTACATAGCACACAACGAAGTTTCCCTGTCGTTACATCGGCTTCCTCCCCATCAAACCGTTTCTCTACCTCAACCACTAGTTAAAAAAAACACGAATACAATGCATACTGTTGACACTGAAAATATTTTTCGTAGAATCTTAAAACGTTTCTACTATACGGACTTTGTTGACATCTCTTTGAATTTATGATAGGGTATTTTTCACCAATAATCGATTTGCTTTTTTTGGCTATTCGTTCATACACAATTAAATTTACATTTTTTCTACACGTTTTTATGTCAATAATTCTTTTAAGTACTGATTTGGCTAGTTGATTTTATTGTAAAACTTACATTTGTTATTGTTTTTCATGCTGCTTAAGTCATCCAAGTCTGGGTCTGGTATTCCCATATATAGGTTCTGAGACCGGCCGTACCAAACCAAAAGTTCTTCTTCTTGTTCAATATCCTAAACAATCGCAAAAAATATATCATTTATGAAAAAAACGTGATTATATTTCGAGCATAAACGCATAGTATTATATCATTCACATTAAACAAGACAAATTCAACGTGTGATAGAGAGTACTTTATATAAAATTTATTTTTCGTGATGACGCAGGACTTTATCACACTGAATATGAAATGAAGTGTACCGTTGTTATTGCGAAGATTTTAATAAGAAACATGAATATGATGGTCCTTGTTTCGATCGCGAATACAAATTTTCATGAATATAGCATTGAAAGAATTTTCAAAAGTCTTTAGTAACATCAGTGATTTGCTTGTTCACGTTAAGAATTTCTCTTTTCTGAGAACATACTGATAAAGGATTTATTATTATCAACACATTAAAAAATCTAGTATGAAACTGGTACCGTTATTTCAATAAAAATTGTAGTTATTGCGAATGAATGAGTATCAAAAGGAAGCAGAAAATTGTTACCAGAAAGAAATCGGTTTGTACGTACAACAATTCCATAACAGTGCTACTAATTTCGCGAAGTTGATACAGTATAACTGATAAAATTGTTCGTTCGGCACAGAGTAAATACCTACCCGTAATGCACGGTAGTATATGTCTTTTCCCGCTTGGACAACTTCTAAGTTTTGTTCGAGTTCCGATCGAGCACATTGAACAAAGGTCAGCCAGCTGGCCGGATTCCTCGTCCCGCCGTCCAAGAAATACAATACACGCCCATCCTTGTCGAATACCTGTTAATGATCAACGACATTCTTTTGAAATAAGGAATTTTGATTTTTTTTCTAACTATATTTAGGATAATCAATTTCATTTGCTATTTTAAGTCGACATAGAAGTTCTTACTTTTTCGATTCTTGACAAGCAAATATTTTAACATTCGAAACGATTTTGATTAATGTCATATGAAATGGAAACCTTACCTTTCATCACATAACTGAGAAAAGGTTTTAAATATAAAATGTTGATGGCAAAATCACTCGGGGGCAGCCTTTTCCGTTGTGCCATTTTCAATTCATGACATAACTTTATTATCCATATTATGACGTCATAATAGATTTATGATAGTCACAGTCAGATACAAATGTCAAACATCTAGACAGACAGATAAAATATTTTGTTTTTAAGCTAACGGGTTTTTTTTCAGTGGGATATCATATCTTTGGCAAGTTAAAGTGTCCTACCTCCCATGTTTTTGAGTTATCCATACTACTGTTGAGATCTCTGTGGTGCAAAATCGTTCCCACAAACGGCCCCATCTCTGTACCAGGCTTTATTTTGGATGTTGCAAACACGCCAAGCCCGGCACCGGGTAAAGTCGATCGAGCAATCACTACTTGATGTGGGAGAGGTAGGTATGAAGGATCTGCGAATATTAAACAGGTTACAAGTTAGAATACTGTATCTGGAATACTCCGACGAAGAAAAAACATGAAACAGTTTTCTACTGAGGTTGGTATTATCGCTTATATTGCGTGTCTCTGTAAACCGTTTACTTAACCAACACGTTGTAGACTTTTCCAAAATCATACTGTTTTAAAGAAGACATGATGAGTAAATAAAATCATTCTTTATTTTAAAATGAAATGCAAATTTACAACCTGCATTCATTAAATAACCCCAATACAGAAATGCTTTAGAGCTCTCAAAAAGGAAAAGGACATTGTATGAAAATATCTATACATATATGTTATCATACATTGTATCACCATTTAACTTACGCAGGAAAAGGACATTGTATGAAATATCTATACATATGTGTTATCATACATTGTATCACCATTTAACTTACGCAGGAAAAGGACATTGTATGAAAATATCTATACATATATGTTATCATACATTGTATAAACATTAATCTTCCCCATTGCTTGTAAATTCTAACCGTAATTTTTTTTCAAAAATGTCGAAAATATATCAACGTTTAATCATAAACAAGAAAACAAACATTAATTTTGAATATTGAAGTTAATGGCATTGGGGCGGAATATGACTAAAATTATCAAAACGTAACATATGATCTCCACAGTAATTTCCCTCATTTAACTGTGGTTGGTATAAAAACCGATTTCCTTTCGTATAATTAGTCATTCTATTGCTATAAGGCGACGGAACTTCCCGACATATGCCGAAGACTACTGCAATGCGGGTTTCCTATTCATACATCTGTTCACTCGACAAACGTCTTGTTCTGAAACTCATGAATTTTAATGTTCCTGCCCATGCACTTAAAGCGTAGCTAGAAGAGGTGAGGGTTGTGCTTTGAAAACACATGATGTATGACCGTTGATATGTGTTATCGTATCAGTGTAGTTGACATGTAAAGATGCCACCCCTCGTCATCATTGTCACTATACATTGATGGGTGATCAGTAGAGCGTGACCAACGAAAATCTAGCCTAGTGCAAAAGAACATAAGGGAAAGCTAGTTGATGATAATAATATTGTGGGTTTCTCTTCATTAGATTAGTTTATTAAATAAGATTCACATGCTGGTAAACAAGTCAATGAATATCGTTTAGGTTATAGCATATATAATAAAATTCTCAGTATTTGCATTTAAATTGCGTGTTGAAAGCAAAAAAATAAACATTTTGTACAGGTTCTATAAATATTGCTTTCGTTAACATATGTATTTATGTATTACAACTCATGTCATCGCATTTCATTAAAAAAGCAATTGTCATGACACAGGTGCATTCTGATATCAAAGTTACTTGAAGGAATTTTAGATTAAATAATAATTTGTTTTTGAATAAAAACAAATAGATAATGTCTTACTAAAGTGAGAACATACACGAAATACATGTAATAAGAATATATTCTAATAGAAAATAACATGAATGTATCATATGTTAATGCATTGGCAGTATATATTGCATTAAAATATGATACATCCATATTATAACAAAGCATTCTATACAATGTATCACTTCATATAATTCAATTTTTGCATTTTTATGTTATCTTTAAAAGAAAAACATCTTTTTTATTAAGCAATGCCATCAATCAGGGATTCTAATGTGAACATATTTCTCTAAAACATAGAACAATATCATTAATCAGGGACTTTGTTTTAAAGTGAATATATTTATTTAAATCATTAATCAATATCATTAATTAGGGACTTTTAATGTAAATATACTTATCTGAATCATTACGCATTATCATTAATTAGGGACTCTTAATGTAAATATACTTATCTGAATCATTAAGCATTATCATTAATTAGGGACTCTTAATGTAAATATACTTATCTGAATCATTAAGCATTATCATTAATTAGGGACTCTTAATGTAAATATACTTATCTGAATCATTAAGCATTATCATTAATTAGGGACTCTTAATGTAAATATACTTATCTGAATCATTAAGCAATATCATTAATTAAGGGTTTTTAATGTAAATTATACCAGTCTGAATGATTACGCAATATAATTAATTAGGGACTTTTAATCCGAATATATTTATCGAAATCATTCGATTGTAATATTATTTGCGGTTTTCATTTTATGTGAATTACTTAACAGCCAGGAGTAAAAACTCGTATTCTTTTTAATGAGTCAACACAAGAATATTTGAAAATTGACCACCTTCGACCAAAGTATTTGACTGTAAAGATTAACATTACTTCACTCAGAAGTTTACATTATGGTTTACGAGGCTGAATAAAAACATACACTCTACATTTTTCTTCATTGAACAAATGTTTTCTAACGAGATGAAAAAAACATAAAACAAAAAATCCTTACGCATACTTACAAACAATATCCTTCTGACTATTTCCATTGCTCAAATCTTGTCCGTATAGAACAAATCTCAGATCATTTTCCGTGAAAGTGAGCATAGTATTGTTGTCCATGACGTCGACACTCTGCTTGTGTGTGTGTCCTTGTTGGAAGATTTGATATCAAATAACGGCAAAATGTACCTTAACGGTATTTATTTTGGAAAAAATAAAAATTTATAATTCCAAACTACCCGGATGCTAAAAACTGTCGATCCGTTTAGTAGGAGAGATCTTCTGATTGGTTATTAGTTTCGTTTGAGATAATGGGACGGTCTGGCAAATACATCTACCCGCATGTCGACCACGTCACCACAAAAACAACGCGCAGTTGATTTTTGATATCGGTTTGTGCTGGGGCTCATTAGTTATTATTTTTAAAAAGTTCGCTCGTACTTGATTTTCCATGGTCTGGTTATAAAATTGCCATTTCGTTCTGGAGAAGTGATTTTCATTTTAAAACTGATTTCCTGTTAAATTTGCATTTTGCGATATTTTAAAATTTAATGTAAAATCTTTAATTTTCTTTGGGAACTTATACTCATTTATTTCGTTAACACTTAATCCAAAATCTGTACGCACAGAAACTGTTAAAGGTAAGTATGAGTAAATTTTAAACTATATTTATCCACAAATTAAAGTGCCAAACAACAATTTTTGTTTTGAAAAATCACGAAAATTAAGCCCCGCGAAAATGACAGTAAATTATGCCATATCATGCGATACAAATTACCAAATGTGATAGTGTGTTAAGACGTAGAGCAAGAACGTAATTGTTGTCAACAAATGCATAGGATTTTATATAATTATTCATGAAATCATTGGTATGTGAAATTTAAGAAAATGACACTAAAATCGATCAGTTGAAATAAAGCTGCAATGTTATAAGATGGAAGATTTGTAGTTATCATAATCATGTCATTTCTAACAAAAATATCCTTTCATTTATGTTTCATCAGAAAAATCGGGTGCACGAGCGAATTTATTTTAAAAAGGACAAGCTTTCCTAAACATTAGTAAACCAAATTAAGTGAAATGAGTAATGCATGTTATTTAGCTGTATGTGTAAAGTAATAAATCTGATTACAAATTATAGTCAATAAAATTATTGATGAAATATTATCATTTGACAGAATGTTCCCAATGCCGGGAAGTAACTGTCTTTTTACTTGACCCTAGCCATTTGTTATTGAGGAAATGGTAGTCTTTTGTGGGGGCCTTCTGGGAGATCCCGGATCATTATCTGTTATTTATTCATGTCCGCAGAGAATTTATTTTTAAATATGTAATGGCATATGGTTACACTCCTATCCCGCATCTTATTGTATTTAATGAATTTTTATCAATTTCTGCAAATAGGCTTCTACGAACTACTTGCGGGTGTATTGAACTGACACATTGTATTAAAAAATGTTTTTTCACAGCTCGGCGTATTCATTAAAGGACAAACATAGCTATAAATTCGCTAGAGTAAAACAATACAATTGGCTAATTAAAAGCATTCGGTTTGAAGAGTTGATTCAGGCCCGCATATCATCGCGGAGAAAATCTCTGCCCAAAGCGACCCGCATTTTTGACGAATAAGACGCGGATAACGCCCCAACCATTGGAAGGCTTTTGAGGGTATGGATCGTTTTACATGGTTATTATAAATGCTAGAGCCAGAGGAAGGATCTGGTAGCATCGTTGAAACTTGATATCCGTATAATTATTACTCCATCATTAGAGTATCCCGGTGTCGTTTGGGACAAAATGGCAAACTCTTAAAGAAATGGTTCACACTTCGATACTGATGGAAGAAGCAGGCCCCCTGTCTTCTGAAAATTCATAATTTCGTTCAATGTGCCTAAAGATCTCTATTCGAGTATGTTTGTGAACGTTTAAGTCGTCCTAAACTAGTCCGGATTTCGTCATTTGGCTGTATACTTAGCTTTCTTGACACGTCTGGCAGATACTGATAGCGTTCCTTTACATATTGAATGAATAGATAAGATGTTTAATTTGTATATAACATATTTAAGTATATAAAAGTAAAACCTTGATAAATAAACGGAAACCGGGTACGTTACAACAACATATACTAGTATACTTAGTATATCAAGTGTATTCTAAAGCACTATTTCTCCCGACAGTGTGCGTGGCTTTTTATGTTTCATATGCTAAATGCCTTCGGCAAAAGGGACTTTTTCAAGTGTTTCCGAAATGCCTTTAGTCTCAGTTGTGGACTTTCTCAAAAATGAAAGATTAACCCGGAATCTATATGAATATTTTTTTTATTAATTAAATTCACATTTTGAAATTCAGTGTCTCCAACTTTCCTTAAAATTGATTTCTGAGTTAAAAATAAATTTGATAGATCCGCGTTACATCCAACGAATGAAGTACAATGTAAGTCTTAAGGTTTTAATTCATAGTTCATCACTTCTTGAAGAACTCTGCGTTTACTTCAAATCATCTCATACAAACTCAGATGTTATTTCATGAATGTGCATCCACGTGTCTAGTCAGTCACGTGGTATATATTGCATATAATCACGCATAGTCAATAACTCTGCTGTCTCGTATATCATTGTAGAGTGAGGTCAGTCCATGTATAAGTTCCATCATTCGATCGAGAAGTTTCGATTTAAATACTGAAATTCAACAAAAGTTTAATTAATTTCTCCATTTCTCGTTTTGTTATCAAACTCAGCGTGTGATATAATTTAATTCTCATTTCGAAAACCAATTCAATTATTTTTCATCATTGTTGCTTTACATAAACAAAACGCATTACATTTGTATAACAAACATTTTGATCAATTCTGTTTTAAAGCATTTTGTCCATACAGCTGTAAATTGGTTGTCCTTTCAATTTTACATCTACATACAATCATTATGTCATAATTGATAAACCAATTTTAATCAGATGTAGCTCTGACGGATATTTTTCTTAACTTAAACTCAGATTTCTGTCAATATACATCGCATATACAAAAGAAAAAAGAAAGGACAGCAGATCCAATACTTAATCAAAGGTTAAACATATTTCTGACATTTAACAGAAAAATGATTATTTCAGAGTGACACATTTGGCTCAAAAGAGCTTTTGTATCTATATAGATAGAATAAACATTGTTGTAACGATAGTCCGAGTTTTTACCAAAAGCATGATGCAAAAAGGGTGCATTTTTCAGCAAAGTCATGAAGTGGGCTATTGTTTTCTCTATTAATTTAATTTTCTGTGTATTTTTCGGTGTTATATTAACACTGAAAATAGTTAAGGAAACATCTCTCGAAAATAGTAACCTTGCTGTATAAACAGTATACGTTACAATCGATGTTACATATGAATTAATAACCTCCATATTTTGCATATGTTTTCTTTGAATTCAATTGCAGCATTTAATAAACATATTAACACATGATAATATATCGTAATAAACATAATCAGCAATAACTAAGAAATATCAACTGTAATAATATTCCATATCGATTGGTCTGATGACAACACAAATATGGCTTATTGCTTATGCTATTAGCAACAAATACACTCTGGGCGTGTAATTAATATCTTTTATTTTCTTAATTTTCTACTTACACTTAGGTGTTGTCGGTGCAGGAGTTGTAGTAGTGACTACAACAAAAGAAAATACACATATTTGCTTACATCAATTATTTTACCTAATGTTTTTCTGATGAAAACAGTCACCAGTTTATCTTTACTGATAAGGTAACCTTAGTCATGGCAATATAGCAACAGTATACTTACATGTTTTTTTTTTAATTATGGAGTTTGCCTGCAATAGTATCCATGTTTAATTCACTCATTAGGTGCTTGAAAATAGCGCATCTATACCATGTTATGTATTTTAAGTATACAAGAATGAGGAATTCCACGAATATATTTTCATACTTAACCACGTGAATAAAAATCTTATCATTATATTATTATTATTACTATCTCATTTTATTATCTATTCGATTTCATATCGTTAACGCAAATATAATTTCTCATTAGTAATCTATAATTAGATATATAAGAGATAAAGAAGCAATGGTAAATAGTATATCTTCCATAGTTTGGAACATTTTCATCACGGTGGTAATGTCAATTCGGCTACGCTTTGTTTAACTACGCATGTCAACGCTAGTACGCTCCAAAGTGGTCATTTGTTTAATGAAGGTGACCATTTAGTCATCGAAACCTTACACTCAAATCTTCTACTGGTTGTCTTATAAGAACTTCTATTTTATTAATATACTTCCAGAATGTTTTATCGTATGGACATGACTTACCTGTGGTGGTTGGGATTGTTGTGGTGATGCAATCACACATGCGACATCCAGCGAAATCGTACCTGTATCCCAAAGGACAATGTGTCCCATTACACACCTGGTCAGCTTCGTGGCAAGTGGGAACTTTCCCGTCCTCCACTTCAAATCTGATCACATAACCGGTCAATACAAGGAAAACGTCTGACGTGAATGTAAACTCTAGATATCTATCTGACCTGCTCGCGGGTCGTACTGAAATGTTAGAAATATCTCACATCTGTTATACAAGATATCTATATGCATATTGCTTTTCAAGTTACATATTATTGTCGATAACATTTAGCAATGAAACGTATCTATAGAATGATACACCATTAGAAGTACTAACTAAGGCCAGCAATATATAAAAAACAATCATGTAAAAATAATATACTAAATATACATTTCAGCATGAAATGCGCCAATGACTTTTTTATCAGCACAGTTTTATGAATTCTACTTGCCTTTGATATTGTGTTCATAAGTATTGCACATTTTACATTACCCGCAACGGGCTGTAAAAACTATTATCATATCGTTACAATTTTCCTATACACACTGGTTGTTCAAAACATCTAAATATCTGGCGATGTTACATAGAGGCAGTAGAATACGTGCACGCGAGATGAATAACTACCAGGCTTATCAATGGTACATATTTTAACGGACCAATCAGAAGTCACATAATAAAGAAAACATTGACCTGTTTTCAGATGAATACAAGGATCTATTAACCCGGAAATATATTCTGGCCTTGGCAAAATAATCTTTTTGGTTTGATAAGCCCGTGTCAGGTCAGTATTTGTATGATGTTTTCACAAATTATTTGGAAATTAACCATTTCAGCAGACTGGGAGATACTGTGTATGAATATATAAATTTTGTATTTTTCTAAATTCCGATAAATATAATTACATGTTAAACATTGATTGGAAAGGATACAAACACATTTACTTCTATCCACTGAAAAACATTTAAACTACTAAAAACATCTAAACTACTAAAACACTGTCCAGGCTGATTCACGCACAGTTGTAGGTTTGGTTCATCGTGATGTTATTACTGTCACAGAGTCGAGTATTCTCAAGCCCTTGAACGTTGTTGAACGTGATGTAATCACAGCGGCATGTTTTACCGTCATAACCATATTTACAATGATCAATATCGAAGTGAAGGAACCTGGAGATGTAGAAAATTTAGTAATTTAAGCATTTTATCGCTAAGAAATAATAATTGTAATATCCAAACGCATGAGTGTTTATACTTAAATTCGCTTTTGACACAAAGGTTGACTACAGGATTCTGATGTCAAAATAATGTAAAAATGGTATTTTCGTGGTTTTATCGATTTTAAGGCAAACATGATTTAATTTCCACTGAATTAATGAAGCAGATTATGTTTCGAAAACAGCAATTTTAACAGTATAAGAGAATAATTATACATCAATAGGATAACAATGAAATATTTTAAGTGAGTGTTCCAATATCTGCCGCACTTTATTGATTCTTTAGTAAATAAAATTTAACTTTCATGCTCTAGAACATTTTAAAAAATTCTTAATATACAACCTGTAAAGTTTGAAAAGGCAATGGTTCTTGATTGAAAGTTTGCGATAAAATTTTTTTTTAAAAATTTCATGGTCAGCTTTGATAGATCTTCATACGTTGAATTTAATTGGAAAATATACCTAAAACCGAACGAGAAATGTCTGTATTATGAAAATAATGTATGTGAAAACTGGATGGTAAAGTGTCCTTTACAAAACTTAAGGTAACTGACTTCGTACGTAAGTTTCACGTATTTGTCCTTGAAGATGTGGTCCTGGCCGAGGTCGATCCTGATATCAGTTGTATAGACCAGGGGATAGTGACCAGGGTAGTGGGCCATACTGGGGGTCCTTATGTAACCCTGGTAAATGTATGTTTCATTGTTCTCCATTGGATAATCTAAAATCACATGACACATTATCAGATAAATAAGTGTTTAATGTATACATGGATGTATTTTAGGATTGCTACAGAAATCAAATCATATTGATTTTACTTTAGTGAAAGATTATTTCATTTCCATAAATTTGCAACAGGAAGCATGATATTGTTGTTTTCCTTGAACTATTTAGTGATCATTTCATTTCATTTCTTAAGGTAAGTAAATATAAAATAGTATCGAAATCAACCTTCCCCTAGCCTTAAGTCTTTTATTCTCTTCTATGAATTAAAAGTTTCCATCCTACCGTGTGTTATTTATCTAGAGCGATATTATTTTCCATTTTATGATTAAACTGTTAATAATGATAATAATGATAAAGAAAATCATTTAATAGACATCAAAAGGTTAGGTCTTGGTCTGATAGTTAAAACTGTACGGTATTTGCTGGTATGCAAATCCATAACGACAGTATGGCTTTTACTGCTGAAACCTTTCGTAAAGCAAATAAATAATAAACACAATATTTGACATTAAGATGAAAAGTTAAATAAATGACTTTTGGGGAAAAATGGAATGACATGTTTTTCGAATGTTAAACATGTCTCAAATACGATTAAACATACATGTACATCATGATTATGTACAAAATCATGGCCAGCTTTACCAAGATCTAAACCTGGCGATAGGTCACGTCTTACCTCGACTTACCACCGTTCCTATCGGTACAGGTTCCGTGGGAAGTGAAGAAACCTGACATATACAGAAAGCTGGACAACGGTCATTATAGTACCTGATAGAGGTCAAACAGGTAAGTATCAATTAGATACAAGGACAAATCAACCATCATTAACATACAAACGCATACACACACGTGATTCTCCAGATCAGCAGAGCAAAAGCACATTACATATTGTGCACTTATTTAAATGAAGAAAAGTACTTCAATATTAAATGAACGACGTCACAAACGAAACATTTTTTTTTATAATGAGGTGATAAAAAGCGCATATCATTTCATTTTGACAAAGTTTCATTATGGTTGCAAATTACACAACTTATTTGCCATCTGTTGAGAGTTTCTTGTCCAGGTGTGTGAATGAAGGAAGTTATCATTTAAACAATACCCAAAGCATGTGTTTGATGAATTTTGTTTTTGAATATTGAACTTCACTTACCAAACAGAGAATCATTTCGTTATGTAAAGGACTTACCGGTAGGTAGGCGATTCACCAGCGGGACAAGTAGGACAGACAACAGGTAAACAAGATGGCATAGTTGAAGTGGTGATAGGTGTCGTAGTAGCTGGTAACAAAATCCCTATATTAATTTTTTTTTATAATGTCACCCTGCAAACTCTCAGCTCTTTTAGAGATTTCAAATCGTTCCGTATTAAACAGGTTTCAATTTTATTTTGAATTATAAAATTAATTACATTCAAGTCAAAATTCATATGTGTGCATAAGTAAAGATATCTTACTAGCAGTCATATTAACTTTACGTGCCATACAATATAAACATTCTTAAAATCGCTTACATTTTGTTTGCATTCCAACCCCTTTTTAGCTGTTGTTTTACTTAACTAACCTTCATCAACAGGCTTAATTATCATTATCATTGTTAGTTTTGCATTACTATTTTGAATACAGATTTTGAGGGGGAAAAGGCATCCTTTTTAGATGTTGATATGATATTTATAACTGTACGGTATTTCACTAAACGACTATTATAATTATTAGATTATCGAGCTATTTTTCTTTTCCCATAGCATAACATGATAATATCGAACATCTTCATAAGGAATACATCCGATTTAAAAACACAATCTTCATAAATCACTTGATTCATAATGATTTATGAAGGAGTTTGTACATAGAGAATTCGATGATAGACCAATCATCAATCATATTTCCGCATGTAATTATTTCAAAATATACAGTTAAAATTTAACTATTACATATGTTTGTAGCATTAACTATTATGTATACACTGATAAAACACGTCAAAGTATTGGGTTATCTTTCTTGAATTGCAACCGCACGATTTTTTTTTATTCAAATCAGAAACCAGGCAAACTTTTCGTTACCAGTTGATATAATATTGACCAAGAATTCTCAAAATATGTCATTTTGATAAAGTAAACACTTTTACCTTGATGCACCACAAATATGTTATATTTGGCAAAAAATCCTGATTTTACGTTGGTGTTGGAATCTGATATAAATCTGACACTAACTGATTCTGTACCGTCTCCAACTGAAACATCAACAATATAACATTAAAACATTATCCCGCTGACGTCATCGTGGTAGTTGATGTTATAAGAAATGTGATATAACTGTACATCAGAGCCATGATCTGACCGTCTCCACCTAAAACATCAACAATATAACACATTGACGTCATCGTAGTAGTTGATATCAATAACAATTGTGGTATTTTCCAGTCCGTATGAAATCAAACTAGATGATGACACAATTGATACCGTGACTAAATAATGTTCTGGTTGAGATGATGTGTGATTGTTTGGTCAAGGCTATCAAAGTTACCATTTCTTTATGTATTACGTTAGTCTCTACTACTGCCCTGTAAGTTTGAGTTCCGGTTTTGATGTTTCACAACAATAATCTTTATTAATTATTAGCAACCGGCGAATTACATAAGGTAGGAATTTGCTATATTATATTGCTTGTTATGCAAAGTTTACACAGATGGGTTTTAAGAATTCTGTACTGCATAATCTAATTCCCTAGAAACTGAAACGATTGATGTTAATTATAAACTTAGTAACATAATATACCGGGGCAAAAGTAGTTCGTGAATCAGTAGTTGTAATTGATAACACTGAGTCAAATAGTGGGAATCTTCAAAATGCCACGCTCATCGGGAATTTCTGGAAGTCATTTTGTATTTGTAGTTAACTCATAAGGTTGATAAGTGTAACCAGACTCACCTTGCACAAGACCATCTCCGTTTGGTAAGACACTTCCACAGAATGTCTTTGTAACAGTTCCGTCCCTGAGAATTTCCACACGGTCACAAGAACATGAAGTGCATTGCTCGATCTCAAAATATGAAAATTGTAACGATATGGACACGTCGTTTCCATGACTCTGACTCACGTTCCAGATGGAGTATGTTTTTGTGACGTTAGGTGGATACAGGTTCGGATAATTTGGTGACATGATGATACCATTTCCATAAACTGGAAGTGGAACCTATATACAACAAACCAAGATTGCTGATACAATACCCTTCAATTAAAGAATGCGATGCGCGCCAGTGCTTCTAGTTTCATTGGGGATGGGTTTCCCAAATGCGGAAACTGATTGATGTAAGAATATATATATATATATATATTTCAAAATTAATTTTAATACCAGTACTGGGCATGTGATATATGTTGTAAAGATATTGACAAACTCGTCGGTAAAACAAGGAATTTAACGGTACAGACTGATATCGGAATATATGTAAGAAAATAAACTAAACGAGATAATCGTTGGTGATAAAATCGTGAAAAATGGTTTGTGCTCACAACTATAGTCAGAAAATTTTACAGGCACGTATATATGTTCTTTGTGATTTCCCTACTCAGTATACGCTAGAAAAATAAATATTTGATATGTAACTGTGTAATAAATGTGAATAATGACCTATTTAATTTCGTCAATGTCATGCAGTGCTTAATGTGTAAAAACATGCTCAAACCGCACCTGTATGAGCCACCAGTACTTAAATGCCATTCATTGCGATAGAGTCTATCATATTGCCCCATATTCTTGGTTACGACAGGGCATTCGTCAATATAAGATCAACTAGACAACTAAGATATGTATTTTTATTATTTTTTTTTTCATGTGGTCCTGCAGATTTGATTAGTGGTTTCTGATTTTTTTTTTACTTATCGGCGAAGATCTTTCTTGTTTCAGTACCACACGTCAGGCCATGCTATTTTTTCTAATGGTTTGCAATATTTCGAAACTACTGTCCATATACCAAGGCGTGTTCATGGTGAATAAAATATATCATTTACCTTTTTTAAAGAGGCGGAAGCACAACCAGTTGCTGTCAGAATTTTGTTTAACATTTTATTAAAGCATTGAAAAAACACAAAAAACTTCATGTTTCTAGCAGACCAAAATATCTCCCACTTTCGCAAAATAACATAAACATATCTGGAAGGATCAAATGATGTCAGTCATCAGATATATCAATTTCAGTCAGCTGACGGGGGGAAAGACAATGCCTGTTTTTCGTGAGTTCGCTGGTTGTGACAATATCCCTTTGTCCTGATCCATTCTACTGGCGATGGTATTTCCCCAGATGTCTCCGTAGCTAAATCTGAACCTAATTTCTTGATTTTTTCACAGTCATTTCTCAGAGAATCACCTACTGCATTGCGTTTTATCAAATAATGACTATAATAACGGTTGTAACAATTACTTAGGTACAACATGCAACATCGCTAAACCTGAAAAGATTTAGAAAATACCTGTGATAACTTACCATAAAATACAGACAAACGAAGGCGAAAAGTGACATGGTAATTCTTCACAGTATCTTATATCACCGACACCAGCGGTCCTCAGTTGTGTACTTATTGTACATGATCTACGTACGGAGCACGCGCAGTTTTAGTTGCCAAGAGTATAAGGAATATACACATGTACTAAAGGTAACTATCCCGTTGATCAAATAGTACGTGTCAAGATTCCCTTGCAAAGAAAATCCAGAGGTCGACTTCACGTTCAACAAGCGACCTAACGGCTCATAGCATGATTTAAGTATACAGATTGAAAAATGGACCCTTTGCACTGGGACTGCACGAACATGTGACATATACATGTGCATGTATGTGCAAATACTTCAAAGATAATTTTAATGTAGAACGCTAATATTTTACTACGGAAAGAATAAATCTTACATATACAATGTAAGGTGATGTAGTAAACCAAGGTATATATTGATATTAACCGAGACCTTTAAGGTACAGATATTAGGGTGTATTGTGGATATATACACGATTTACTGACGTGTACATGTTCTAACAGCATTGCCCGGATGTATTTACGGTTAATACTAAACAAAGCGAGTTTACCATTGTTTAACAGAAATGTAAAAAAAAAAAAAAAAAAGGCGTGAAATGCTTCATACTTGCAATTGTAAAGTACTCTCGACATTACACAATGGTCGGTGAAGTATTTTTTACAGAAATAAATTGAAATAAGTGTACAAGTATAATTACGTTAGTTATTAAATCAATGTCCGATCTGAGAAAAAAAATAAATTCGATATATTGTGACGTCACTAAAGAAAGAACTATGAACTGAATATATTGCCAAATTAAAAGTTATATAAAATACGATTTCCGATTATGTTTACAAAAGTATCAATGGCAGTAATCAACAGCTTTACCATAACACCAGCTCGGTATCCAATACATTTACAAGGAAATTCTAACCGTGACCCTTCAGACCTAGAACATTTCTTAGACTTTTACTTTTCTATAAAGTTCTTCATCCATTAGTACAAACCTGGTAATAAACACTAGGTGTCCCCTCAGACACGCTGGTACATTGATCCACACCGGGAACTCGCTTTGGTTCCTACAAATACTCTTTCTTCCCACACAATGTAACCCGGTGGAATGCCATATTCGTAGCACTGTGGTTAGATATTATCATCTGGGAACATATCATTAAAACCAAAAGCATGTAATCTCATAAACTTGTATATGGTCTTAAGTAAAACACAACGTGAAAAGTCGAACGAACGGAATAGAGGAGTGTTGATTAGCGCCTGTTGATTCGGGAGAGACTCACTCACTCAACCTATAACAAAATTTATTATATTCTATTATATTCATTCATTACATTCGATACTATTCTTAAAAAGTGAACATGAAGGAGACCCCCACTATCCCCCTCCGCATACATTTTCTTACATCCGTTTGCATTCAATCCCTAGCACACCTATTTTCCCATAAAAATCGTTTATTTAATATATAGATTTATATCATCTTGTGTAAATATTTAGGGTGTTGTACATTATATTTGGGAGCCGGGTTTGATACAAGTTGGAAAACTTGTGACCGACCCCATTGTATTTATTTGATACAATAAAAATATGTTTAAATCAAAAACACAAAACAAAACAAAAAACAAAACAAAACAAAAAAATAACAAAGAACAACAACGACAAAAAAACAAAAAAAAAACCAACAACAACAATAAACAGAAAACACAAACAAAAAACCCTAAGCAATGAAACAAAACAAAACCATACAAAAAACAAGAATACACACGTTCACACACAACCGTCATGACGCCCCCCCTTTAATTTTCTTAAACCTTGTTATTATATAATATAAAAATAAGTTATGTGAGGAAGAAAATCTTACATTCGTTTCCCTTTCATGTGACATTTCTGAAACTCGTCACTACTTTTTCATTTGACGTCACTAGAGTCTTGATAAAATGAAATTGAATAGGTTCGTTTCATTAATCTCTTCTTGTTCTTGTACATTTGATTCAAAAGTAGAGCATAGAAGGAAAACTGTCTAAAGGAAATATGAATATGTGGTTTTCAAATATTTTTTCCATTATGCATAACGGTTACATATTATATACATATAGTAGTAAACATGTGGCTATGATCCACACTTTAGTGAAAATCTGTTGATGAATTTTATAGACTCATTTTTTATTGTTATTTCATACATTTTTCTATTAACTTGCATTTATTTATTTTCTAACTATTTATTTATGTAACATTATTATTATTATTATTATTATTATTATTATTATTATTATTATTATTATTATTATTATTATTATTATTATTCGATTCGTCATTCAACGTATCCGGATAATTGGGCTTCGACGCCTACGGCTCTTATTTTATGTTAAACAACACAGAAAACGATGACGTTTTACGCTTATCAACAGCCTGTGGACGGAAAGACAAGTTACAACGCGCCAAGGGGATCTCGGAGGAGGAAAATTTACAGCTGTTGCTGAAATGTCGCAGCAAGGTGCTGCTCTGCAGAGCTACAACAATGAATTAGTGAAATGTAAGTTATATTTTACCGAACTGCCTCTATTTCCCTTGGAAAGTGCAGTTTTGATTTTCACGACCCGTAGTTCTCATTGTTGTCATATGTCACCGTCCGTCGATTTAATGGTGTGTTTATGTGGGATTACCGTTAGAATAAAAAAAAAATCAAAGTAAGTGTTGTCGTATCTTAAAGAATATTTTTGTTAACGTTGGGAAGTACACTATTTTGTTTAGTTTCAGTTGCTGATCTGTGTGAAGTTACAAGTAGATTTTGAATATCGACTAAGGTCTACAGTGTATATAGCTAGATCCATTGATTTGACGCGAAACATTGAATTACAATTAAGGCCAAAACCTCTTAATGAACAGATTTTGGTCGACCAGCTTATTGTGTTTGGTCTGTTTCTATAAATACCTTCGTGAAACCATAGTAGTGACAACATGCTTCATCAGATTTCCTCTAACTACACTCTTTTGTCTTTACCAATTTTCAAGCTATCACCTAAATCTTCCAATTCTCTGTGTAGAGACATTTTTCATTGCGCCAGGTTAGCCCGTTTTGCTCTGTTGACAGGAGAAATGTTGATTTGTTTCTCCTTTATCCATTTGATTTTAAAAACCTCCATACAGTTTTACTGGAAATATTTCTGTTAACATTATTACAAATGTTTGCCAAAGGCTGTCTGTCTGCTTTCAGTTCTCTAAAATTTTCCTTTAGTCACGTGTGGTTGAATTTTTGAGTTAGCCTAGTTTTTCACCATTTTACACACTCCTGCGTTCACAGAAATTCCTGTAAATCAAATGTCTTAGGCACATTCAATCAGTCATCAATGCTTTGTAGAGATAAGTCTTTCTGAATCATACATACTACACCTTGTTTCTTGCCCTCACTTGTGTATCGACTGGCTCCATTTTGGTTCTGTTTGAAAACAAATCCATGTGAGCAGACGACATAATAGAATGCTAATTAAAGCACCAGACTGTGTGTGATGTTTCCGATGCTGTAAGCAATGTCTGACAGATTTATGTATCATGTATACAGTTCCAACGTAAACAACACGGAAACTAACATATAAGAATAGTTTATTGTTCCACTACTTTTGTCCAAAAACTGTATGTTGTATTATTTATGAAATTGGAATCAATCCATTTACTTAGTAACATGTTATATGCATGTACATTGCAGTACTCAACCATCATACAATACAACAAGGTATTTACCTACGATTTAATTTCATTTATTCATTATCTCCTTTTTAAAAAAAGAATGGAAATCATTACAAAATAATAGATCTGACCAGTTTACATTTTAAATTGAAAACTTCCGCCAGGTTTGGCAAGTTCATTGTATACATTTATATATTCAGAATTCAGAATAATCTTTCTCGCCTTCATGCATAATATGTACATTTTCAAATACATAATATTTTTGTCAGTAAAAAAGAATCATTTCTCACTTAAAGAAGTCCTAGACTTTGAATGATACCGTCAAAGAGTTTGTAATAATTTTATCAACTTAAGTCTTTGGAATGGAATCAGGAAAATATAATTTAATTGGGAATAGTTTTGGGCATTTTCTGATTAGGAATGTATGCCATCCGTTCACTCGTGTATTTCAGTCATGTTGAAAGACATGAAAAACGTTTAAGTCCCTGAAGATTATCACATCAAAATTTATATTTTCACACATACATCACACAACAGGTACAGTCATTGTATTTATCAGGCAATGAACGCACCATACCTGGTAATAAAATCACCCATATCTGTTGCCGTTGAATACAAGAAGAATTTCCACCTAAATTTGTTGCACTGCAGTAGTCCAATCTCCTGATTATGAGATAGAATCTGTATGTGAATGGATAAACTCAAAAATATGATGACCAATGGACCATCAGAGATTAATCTAGACTAATTTTACAAGTTACTAGAGGTATAAGGTTCTAAGTGGTTTTACCCTCTGAAAATTGATCACATGGGGAAATTTCCCCAAAATACTCACCCCCAAATAGGGAAAATGTTTTTACTGTAATAATTAATTAGTATATTTCTACATAACATACTCCAAATAATGCAATTATGAACGAGAAATATCAACATTTCATTCATGTGATTCTCATTTAAGCCATATGTTTCAACGCCATCCCTCTTTTGAATTCTGACCAAAACAGCAGTCTGGAATTTCACCAGTTCTTAAAATAGGTAAAAAGATCTCGGTTTTCACAATGGGTAGTTTTACTCGAAATCTAGATTAACACCTGAATAGGTTATTCCAGATTTTTTGATGGATCCCTTCTTCATTTCAATTTTAAAAAATTTAGCTTCGAAATCACATTCCTAGGCATATTCAGACATTCTGTATCATTTTCAAAATTATTCATTTGATATCAGTGGTGCTGATATTGTTGACAAGTGGAAGTACATATTTTGTAAAAAGTTGCAGATTTCCAACTACTTGGCAGGACATCTTTATGACTTAGTAACAAGTAGTAGTGATTTATTTGAAATCAGTGATTTGACCATGACTTTTTATGGACAGGTAATATTAACACAGTATTTAAGTGTAGCTCTCTGAATTAGCCATTAAATCCATAGGGTCACATGACATTATTTATACTGGTTCTTTACCATGCTATACTGCTGTCTAGCAGTTTGATAAGCCAACTGATAAGTCATTTTATGTTTGTAATGGTAAAATTCAGGAGTTTGAAATCAGAGGCAGAATTAAGGCATTAAAAGTAAAGAATTATTTGATTCATGTATCTATGTTACAGTGTACTTGATCACTGTAGCAACTACAGACATGTTTTATAATTAGTAGTTCAAGAGCTGTCTGTCATGATGTGTAGTAGGTATATAATGTGCTTGTACAGAATGCTTGGTTTTATTTTTGTTCATAATCATACCTCAATTTTCTAATTAAGCTTCATTTTCTGTCCTGATCAGATTTAACCCATGTATAAAATATTGAAAATTTATAGGGAATTAGACATTTCATTTTCTTTGTACAGGTATATCAGAGGCGTGTCCATTAAATCTCAGGACATGTCCAACATGAATATATGATTTTCACTTTTGATGTATTATAAAAGATGTACAGCTGTGGTTCAGATTTTGTTCAAATAATCCTTTGAAACTTTGCAAATAATTACAATGAGTAATAAATATTTGTTAAGAATTAGTGGGTGTCTGTTTGGTAGTGATAAATATTTAATAATTCCTTTTCTATTCTGATATATACATTGGATTTGAATATCTAATTTTTTGAGCTCCATTTCAGGTATAAATGATTTGTGTCACAAACGTGATGACATTCACAAGCAGATCCTCCAAGAGGAAGAGGAAAAGCAAAAACTGCAGAATGACATTCGCATCCTCACAGAACGACTAGCCAAGATTAACGAAAGTCTGAGTAAAAAGATGGCATCTCGAAATGAGTTTGACAAGACGATAGCAGAAACAGAAGCAGCTTACATGAAGGTTAATATTTGAATTGAAAAAAAAAACAGAAATAAATGAATAAACAGCAGTTATTTCAAATTAGAGCAATCAGTGTTACTTGATTATAAAGGGAAAACAAAATAAACCAATTATTCTACACTAAATTTGATCTTCTATAATATTAAAACATGGATTTGAATTTTAATTGAGTATTGTTTTATTTGTATTTTCAGATATTAGAAAGCTCACAGACATTATTAAATGTGTTGAAAAGGGAATCCCAAAGTCTGCGAGAGAAAAGCACAGTGGGAGGAGGAACGTCACAGAGAACATTGACCCAAACATGATCTTTACATCCTTTAAAACGAGAAAGTCTGTTGTAGCTGAGTTATTTCCCTTGCACACCTGTTTGCTGGATCACTAGTGTAGACTCTGTAAGGAAATGGCTTCCTTTGGATGGTACCATTACACATCATCTGTCTTACATTTTTTGTAGAAAACTGAACCTTTAAATAAATCAGGTTTCAAAACATTCTTTTGACAAATGATAATATTTTTTAACAAACTGTTCAGTGAAGAGTAAACTTTCTGAAAGCATTTCAGTTCAGATATATTGTATTTTTATTCAAACCTTACACTGTTTGTTCAACCTAATGCTTTATAATTATATAATCTTTTTATAGTTTCATTGACCTTATTGTAATTGAAGCAAAACATACTATCTTTTGCAAGAGAAGTAAACATCTTGTACCAGCATTGTTGTGTCAAACTATATCTCATCTGTTAAACTGTGATAAACAATTACTGTATATACATGTGGATGTTAGTTTTATTATTATAATATTTGTCCTTACTTATTAGTTATTTGAATCATGTGTAAATTCCGTATAAATATGATACAATTCTGTGTGTGTGATTTTAGAATTTCACTTGCACTATTTGCTTTCACAGTTCTTTTTAAGAAAGAGACAAACTCCTATTTCTCCATGAGTTATATCATTGTGTTCTAGATAAATAAGACAATACATTTTCAAGCTGAAAGATGTAAAATTCTTTGTATCATAGAAATAGTGCTTTAAGTAATGATAATTTATTTAAAATACACACCACTGTATTTGTTTTACAGTCAAAACTGGGTTTTGTAGTTTAAACACAAAGATTCAATATGACCAAGTCATCAATGGATATCAATTTCCACAAAATTCAAGGTTTTTTTTCAGTTATTATTAATTCGACTAAATGTACAAATATATCAAATATTGTTGTGTGTTAAGATATCAGATCCATTTTTCCTGGTTTGCAGATGTGTTCTTATCACTCACAATATGAAGTGGGGAATCAATTTGTATGAATACTGAAAATCTATTTCTAATTGAACTGTACTTGCTGGTTCCTTGTGCAGCATATTTCCTTGTGTATAGATTTCTTTGTTGCTTTTTCCTGTTTCACTGAGAAGATGAAAGTTTTGAGTATGAAAGAAATTGATGAGTAAACGACTAGCATGGCTATAATTTCCATCTACATACATGGATACATATACCATGTACATCACTGGCTGTAGAAGTAGATAAGATTTCTGCAAGGATATATGTCAATGATGTTAGGTATTATAACTTTCATTGTCATTTCTGGGCAAGTTATAGCTGTGGAAACATTTTTGCGAAAAAGATTTACACAGTTGAAAATTGCAAAGTCAAATTCCATCATGCAAAATATTTATCAAACAGTGTTGACAAAGTAAATTTTGTTTACAGTTGTATGACATACGTTGGAGTAAATGATATAAATACTTAATTGTTTTTTGTCTTTATTACAAACATAAAATATAAAAAAAAAAGTAATGAAGTAAGTAAATTGTTAGTCCCTGATAGAAACAGCTTGAAGGGACTCAACAGGTCTATTTGTGTATCGTTTGTCAATAGATTGTCACATTTTAAGTTCCAGGACCATTGCACCTTGATGTATTCTCTTATCTTATCGCTCTACCATCCAAATGTGTGAAACAAAGGACAGAAACTCTGGGAGCCTATAATTACCCATATCTACCAGAGATGTTCCTTAAGTCTCAGTACACCTCTATAACGGCTCACGGACACCAATAGTTGACCTGGCAGTCAGGGCCAAAGTTGACGTCTTGCAAAACTATGTCGACATCCCTGACTGCACAAACAAAGGCCACAGCTGTAGACTGTTTTGTGTCTTATCCATTAGCATGAAAAAAACCTCCTTTCCTAATATTGTAGCCAGTTTATTATCAGTTATTAAAGTATATGAATCACACGTCGGTAGTTGAAAAGTGAAGGTGGTTGTTTACTCAAAGTCAATCTTTCGCGATATAATCTTCAACACAACCTATAAACTAATGAGGTCATTTTTCAGAAGAATAATGAAGAGCTCTATTATTTCAATACGTTTTTCAAGAATATTGAAATGGCGTGAGCCGTTTACAGACGATTATCTTGATAATGAAATGGGGACTACTCATGTAGAGAGTTTTGTCCCTTTATCCACCAAATACAACGCATCCCGCGTCATCTCTGCTGAAATATTTATCATGGATATAATGCTTTGTAAGTAGACAGCAGGGGTGATGTATATACTAAAACCGGTTATCGTTAACAGTATTAGACCGGAAGGACACTCTTTGTTGGTGTTGATGCAAGAGTCGGTCCAAGCACCAGTTGCTGGATGTAATTCACGTTGCTATTATGAAATAAATCAGAACTTTCAGGGAATATAGAATTTTTTTTAATGTACAATTTTTCCAAAAGGAGGGCAGTTCAGAGAATACACCTATGAAAATATATTTCTTACTTGTATTTCTAATTTCAATAGAGAAGCTTACATTTTCGATTATTACTTACGAAATGGTGCACTACGCGGACCCAACTATGATATGCTAAAGTAAGAGCAATTTGTTGAAATTTGATCGGTTTAATTTAGCATGGTTTTTTCCCCAAAGCATTCTCGTCAACAGAACTGAACTCTAAGAATTGGTCAAATCTGTATACAGGGTTAAAATTTAGTCTTACTAAGGATGTGATCTTTAAATACAAGGAAAATTCATATGTTCATATTTCGATCTTGTGGGGAAAATGATGTTAAGGTATGAAACTTACTGTCTGTTTATATACATGATTTAAATTTAACAATATATGTTTATCTTTCTCATTTCATTCGGCTCAAAGTAAGCACACAGAAAATCCTTTTTACTGGCTATACGTGGCTTACATATATTCTTTTATCGGAAAGGACTGACTACGGACACAATATAGACACAAGTTTAAGTTCAGCTGTTTCTATCCTTATCCGAACGTCCGTGTGCAGACGTACAGAACAATTATGGTATACAGTGGACCTTCAAGTATTCAAAAGTAATGCAGGCGATACCCTTACACACAACAAACAAGAATGTTATTCATTAAAAAAATATATTTTATATTTAAACCATAATTTGAGTAATCGTGATTAGTATTATAGCATTGCTGCTAATATGATTGTAATGCATCAGTGTCGTTTATTTCCTTTTTAACAAATACTTTAGGGACGAAATTTTATAGACAATAGAAACCGCATTCCACAAATTTACCTAGGATTTTGTATTTTCAAAGAATATTGCGTTGCATTTTCATGTGAACTCATCTTTTGTTACATCAAGCAATGTCGAGGCGAAACTTAACTTTTGATGTTACACTAACACAATCGAAACGACCAGAAATGGAGACGTTTTAACTGTGGATGATTACATATTGTGAAAGTAATAAGAAAATTTTAAAAAATACCAAAACTGTGGAACCCCGCCCCTTTTTCTCTGAACCTATTCCATTTGTCGCTCATAACGACATATTTGTGCCGTACTCACGTAGCACGTGTACAATGAGAACAAACTAGGTACGGTCCATGCGAAATCTGCAAAAAAGCAAATGTCAGACATTTTCATCTTTATGTTCAAGCAACAGAGTTAACATTGCCAGACTTCGAATACATCCTTTTGAAATATTGAATGTTTGAAATTTGTAGACAAATGTCGCGCTATTAAGATTTCCGAACTGGATCATTCAGTTTTATTCCTTTGGTTTTGTAGACTCGGAGGAAAACTCTGAAGAACTGTCACTTTCTGTCTTCACTGACTCTGTGTGTTCCTCGCCTTCGCGTGAAAACACTTCTTTTCTATGTGTTTCCTCGTCGATATCGGCGTGGTCTGCGGAACGGGAGGTGAATTTTAATTTGTGTCGATTCGTCTGATCCTTCTGGTCTTTCGTAGATTCAGTATCAGCACTTTGGTTTGTCGAAGACGGTGTGTGTCTGCATGTGGTTGCGTGGACAACCGATGGAATACGATTTTCTGTCCTAACTGAGGACGGAACCAAAGGCTCTGGTGGGGCTTCAGTTCTGGCTCGACCATCACTGACAGGAGGTCCCACCAGTAATGGGGACGGTTTATTATTAGTTCTCGCTTGAGTGTTGAGCGGTGCTGTAGTTGTAGGAGGGGGAAGAACTTGGCAATCTCTTTGGTTGTTTTCATCAGAACATAAACCTGCCATTGGTGGAGGTGGCGGTGGTCTCGGAAGGAACTGATCGTTGATAGGTGCCGTAGTCACGGGTTGTTTTTTAACCAAAGCTATAAGAATAAAGATACCATTGAATTAAAGAATATAAAAATCAAATTGATTTACCAAAAGATTTTGAGGATGTGATATTTCACAAACTTAATCAAGAGTCATTTAATAAATTGGTAAAAGGTTAAACTAAATACATTCCATACACAACTCATGAATGATGAAACGTTAAGCGATAGGCTTCCTTCCCACTCGGCCAACTTCTAAAAAAATACGTGGACAAAAATAAGTATAGTCTATTTCAATACTTACTAGCATAATTCACCTGGTCAACTATAAGCATGATATGAGAAACTTGTAAAAATGAAAAGTAAAGGCAAGGATATAAAAAAAATGTTTAAATAAATATTTTTATAGACAGATATATATACCGTATATATGAAGACATGAAGAGGACTAGTTGTTTATACAACAGAAACAATCATAAGTACATAGTATCACTATTGTTCACTCTGTTTTTTCAACATAAACTTTTATAACTTGTTTTCTCATTCCTTGGTTTGTGAATGTCATTATACTGGTTTATAAAAACATTGATTACAAAAGTAAAATAAAATCGTCGACATAAAAATAATTATTTTTCACTCTAGATGTGAGTAAAAGATTACTTACTTTGCCCCAATAATTTTCTGGGTTTTTTTATTACTATTTTTATGTAGTTATAATATATTTGACTTTTGAACTGTTTAACGTTACCTATATGAAATGGCTTATGCACAAGTAAGAGTAGACAAAGGTAGAGCTGGACTCTATTTGGTTCAAGACGGATTCAAATATTCAATTAAGACTAGACGTAATAATAGGTGTTATTTGGAGATGTGTAGATCGCCAGTGTCCAGCAACAGTGACCACATTGAACAACATCCCTGTGACGATCACGAACAATCACATGTTAGCAAACATATCTAGGTCACCTAAGGGTTTTCTGTATCAGCACCTTGTTGAAAATTTTTGTCTCCAATTTTATTAATGTAAATCTATAGAAGCAAAGTACAAACGTCTTATTACTTGTTTCAGATTGTCGTCACATAATTTAAGTACTGAAGTCGGTAGACGGAATAATGTTTTTCGTCAAAATAGATCATGTACTCGTTGTACCTCTGGTGAGGACGAATTTCACTTTATCCTAAAATGTCCTTTTTACCAAAATCTGAGACGTAAATATATCAAACAATTCTATCACAGAAGTCCAAATGTTTTTAAGGAAACATAGAATTTAGTGACTGATAGAACTAATTGTACACTACAGTATCATTGTAAGCTTACTCTCCATTTAACCTAATTTGTATAACATTCTTTCATATTTGTTCCACATTATGTAATGATGTGTTTGTTATTTAACCTAGGAGTAGGATGGCTCACGGAAAAAATAAACGAATGAATGACCCTATGACACACATCTATAATGATAATGGACAACGGTAAGTTGTTACCCGAGAATCGGTCACTTTCCTAAATTTGATTTACCATAAGACAAGGGCATTATATTCTTTTCTGACTTACCAAAGTAGTTATTTTTGCGTTTCTCGTACTCTTCATGAAGTAAATTCACCAAGTGTGTTTGTGTCCGATCTGCCTGTATCGCCTTTACAAATATGTCGTAAGCATCGCCTCCTTTTTTCAGTATAATATCAATCATAACGCTAGCCTTTTTCCTCCTCGTTTTTTCGAACTCTATCTCCTCTTTGTCCTCTTCATTTATTACGAACTTTGACCTCAAATAATCGAAATAACGTTCTGGATTCATATATCTACAAAGTATATCTCTTTTTTCCTCAAGAATCTAAAAAAAGAGAGAAGAAAACAAGTATTGTATTAGTATGAAGAAATCCACTTACGTTTGAAATTGTGGCCAATAACCGGAGAATACACCTCTTCATGAAACATTACTTTGTTAACTTAAAGATTTATTTTCTATTTTCTTATGGTTTTTAAAGGGTAACTATAAATGATATGGGATAAATTGAATAACTTGCGAAGCCGGTCATATAAAATTTACGCAGTTAATCTGAATATTTACGGGGTCACCTGCCCGACCACGTGGGTTTTCCCCGGGTTCTCCGGTTTCCTCCCACAATAAGACCCCTCGCGCGCTTACATCCGGGCCAACAAGAGTGATTAGTATAAGTTGACATAACTTGTTTCGCAATTGTTGTAAAATATATAAAGTTTATATTTAATATTTACGGTTTTCATTAACAGTTGCGTTTACATTCATTTCAAAGTTTTCTGAAAAATACCTAAATAGATATTCAGTTTGTCGTCTACAATGGGACCAGAGAAAATGAGCAATCTATTTGAATATTTCACATATTTTCGTGTATCATTTGTTTTACGTATACCCATATATCATTTTCTAAATACAAAATTCCAGCATTTATTCTACTGAGATCCCGGAAAAGAAATCCCCAAAAGTTTGTTAAAGATTGACATAAGGACCGTTTTTCCAACCGACTTCGCGGGGTTATTTTAAAACACGCCGGAAATTCCTGCCCAGCGTGTGGTATGATGACGTTACGGGGATACCAGCATTCATGACGTCATACCACAATGCGTGTAAGAAACTATCATTATTAATGTATATTGATACATTTAAACGTTAACTGTTAAAGTAATGGTATAACGTGTAGCTGGGCGTGGTGTTTATTTTGTTCAGTTTTACGTCCTGACATATATATATTGACAATGGTATTCTTTGGTAGCGATAAATTAGGATATCACAATATTTTACATACATGTCTATATACAATCAATACGTACACATTATTGATATATTGTAAGGTAAAGGCTTTTCTCGAACTTTAAATTTAGAATGAGTAACTATTTATGAAGTAATCAATGTAGGACTGTCCATCTCGATTGTTTCAGTCATACACTATACAAACAGTATTTGTAACGGATCACCTTGCTTTTTTTACCAAAAATATTGTTTTTTTTCAAAAGATATTGTTTTTTTTCCTTAAAGATACGCCCTGGCAATGTTAATGTGGTCAAATTCATTGGTAAATGAAACGGATCACATTTAGTAGGTTCATTGAGTCTGATTTGGGTAGAAATTGAAATATATTACGGTAAAATCTATCAACTCTTCATAGAGTATCGAACTGTATCATTAAGAAAAAACAATATTTTTTGTAAAAATCAAATTTCGCTGAATATAAATTGAAATGATAGTCAAACGCTAGATAATTGTAAATTACCACTGTCGAACTGACAAGGTACATTTCTATTTCTAACGTTTATATATATATATTTAGACAAATAAATAAAAAAAAAATCTTAAATCATCCAAAACGAAAATTCAGTATGTAAATATACATGTATATTGAAATAATACAATACACACCAATGCAACAAGACGTAGACTGAGGGGAGGTAACTCCAATTAAAACCTGTTATCAACTCGGGTGGTTTTATTACTTTTAAAAAGTTCGGTTGTCATGGCCAGTGTGGCTATATAGGTATGTCCTAGTACAAAATACGGTAGATTTCAACATAGAACATATACTTACGTATTGACACTGGCATAAATTAAAGTTAGGCATGTTTATAGTTTATGGGTAACCGCTCGAAGTCATGCTGGGAGGTCTGATTTATATACGTTATATAATATTATAATTAGTCAAACGCTTTATTTAGCGTGCTAGGTTTAACATTTCAGAGCTGATATCAGTACCCTCGATATCGACATGTATTGTAGACGTAAAAGATTGTTTTTTTTATTGTGATATTCAATACTATTGTAATCACAGTAGATAGTATATATAAGATATTATTTTACGTCAGCAGGTACATACCAGTCGTTTTATTCCAGCTAAGACTTCATCTTCTGTAGGTGTCCCCATTTTCATCAATCTCTACCAGCTACTTCCGCATAAGTCCCACTATTTACTTAACACGATAAGGAAATAACATTTGAATACTTCCTTGTTCAACTGGTTTTGAAACTCTTCTATTTTGAAAACCATATTAGGTAGTTTTGGCGGGTGACTTTAAATACTTACTTGGCAATAATACATTACAGTTTCATATATTTTATCAACCGCATAATGCTTACAGGAACAATTGTCGACGAGAATACCAATATAAGTAAATTTTCAGACGCTCTCCTAAGTGGATATACTTAAGTATATTTTTACCTATACTATTCTTATATTTGGCAATGCATTAATTTTGTAATAAGCACAAAATAAGCGTTTCTGTTGGTCAAAGACGTTGTCGTCCGACATTCCCTATCGTAACAAATGATGTAACAAGATGTTATCTATGAGAGAAAACACATAGTCTAGTGACTCGAATCGTGAGGCTGGGATAAAAAACAAATATATTAGCTTTAAACAATTAAGCAAATGTTAAAACAAATGTTTGTTTTAAATAAAACGTACTTTGACCACATAATGTGATAAAAAATTCTGTATTTTGTCTGACGATAGGGGCATTTTATTGCAAACAAAAGACAAACGGATTGGATAAATGTTACCACAATTTACTGACGCTCTTCCGTAACAGACAAATACACGAAAAAATAATTATCACGCAATAGCCTAAAATTAGTAGAAGCATTTCGAGTTTAACAGCCCTGTAAACCTTTTATGAAGTTATCCACTTCATTGCATGATCAATAAGTTAGCTTTTGGCTGTACGTGTTATGACAAGTCACTGGAACGGGAAACAATAACATCAATCTGATTTAGCCAGCTATAAACTTTACTTCGTACTGGTACACTAAACTTTTCATTCATTAGATAATGAGATGACAAACACAACACATCAGGAACAGAGGGCGTCGAGCCTCACACCTCACATCTCTAACTGACGGGCCTGAAATTCTACGTTCTACTGAAATAACATTATTTCAAATATATATTTTTTTCTCTAGTAAATCGTGTCGTTTAATAACTCTATTTCAAAAGCGATCTTATTCAGTTGCATTTATCTTTATCAGAAACTGAATTTCATAATTAAAACAACTCATTAAAGCCCCAATATACGTAACATTCACCAAAACTTTAGTGTAGAATCACACATAATTATTGAGATATTCTCTAAGATGTAGTTAAAATTAAGTTATTCAAACAATAGTTACCATTACTTTATGCATAAAGTATTGATATATGAGCAGTTGAAACTCGCTATTTGTAAACACACCTCCATTTTAAACACGCCGCCATCGAACTTACGATTGTTGCCGAACCACGTCGGAAAGTTCATGACCTGATCTCGCGAGAGTTGAGGTTTCTACTTATAGAGGAAGCACATGCAGATATGTCTTTGGTAAGTTTTTGTTTACAAACATTGTTTGCGAAGTCTTGTCGTAAACTTCAGGTATTCCTGTGATAAACATTCAGTTTTGGGAAATTATAAGAAGGAATAATTAGTTTAGAAACGATACGATGCACAATTATAACGTAAGAATTCAGAACTGGCCTGATGTATGATTGGAAAAAAGGAAGCGAATGGTGAACGTCTATACTGTGTCTGCCATGTTTACACACACGGAATATGCGCATGCGCAATGTCATCGCTACGAGCGGTAATGTATGAATTATTGTGGGTCCCACATTGTTTATTTTCCGATTTTTTCAATTTTTATTTAAATTGAAAACAGTCAGTTTTATTTTCTATAACTAAAGGAAAGTATTTGTTTTGTTACATATTTTACGTGGAAAATAAGATAAAGTTTGTTTTTTATAGTGATTTGTACGTATATTGGGGCTTTAATAAGATGTTGTGAAAGTCAACAATTCCATTATCATTTGAAGTGTTTTTATCTCTCATCGCAAGTAAACATTTATCAAGTGACGCCATGTTTCCATTACCATGAATTAAAGCCAGGAAGTTTGTCATGCGTTGATGATCAAACAGGTACCCTAACCAGGTAGAATAGATCAATTTACACACGTATCTTACGTCTATTTTTTATTCTGTGTATTATTCACGGGTAACTTCCCTTACCGATTCAAAGCGAAGTCTCGGTTGATGAGACAGCATTTTATGAACCATGTGACCTTTTGGAATCGGAAGTTTCTGTTACGTTCACACATAGCTTTGTGATTCTAAAAGTGACGTTAAAAGATCAAGTGAATATACATGATATTAGACAAAATTTTTTACACACCAAACATTACACTCTACACATAAACAAAAAGTTTCAATATGAACACACGGTGTTTCGATTTCAAACCCTTTGTAGGTCAATCTTTGCTAATCCTCTATTACATTTGCCCCAGAATGTTTCTTTTCAGGGAAAATATTTGTAAGGATGGATATTTAAAGACTACACAGAGAAACCATTTATAGACTTTGTCACAGGTGTGGGAATATCGACCAGTATTACGGTAATGTGAAAGACATGTTCATGCATTCATTTATCGATACATTGCTTAAGGATCGATAAAGGTATGTGTTGAAATACAGTAGTCACCTCATGTGATACATTTTTTACCTAAAATCATTAATTCATTTTACGGTCTATTTCACTAATTAAATGAATAAGAATGAGAAAGGCCCCATTTAGATGTAAGTTGATCTATTAGATGTGTTTATATCTATTTTAGTGGAGGGTGCACGTTGTATTATTGATTACTTTACAGGCATGGCGAATAGTTTTTGAAAGAAAAGGAACACGCAAACGACTTCTCAGCAAGAACCATTAAAGCTTTCCACAACTTTTATTTTAAACAATATCCAAAGTGATGTTAGCTTCCAGAACGTCTTTTTAAACACTATCCAAAGTAGTGTTAACTTCCACAACTTTCATTTTTAAACAATATCCAAAGTGATGTTAACTTCCAAAACTTTTATTTTAAACAATACCCAAAGTTGTGTTAGCTTCCAGAACGTTTAGTTTAAACAATACCAAAATAGTGTTAACTTCCACAACTTTTTTTTCAACAACATCCAAAACTTTTATTTTAAACGATATCCCAAGTTGTGTTAGCTTCCAGAACGCTTATTTTAAACAATTTCCAAAGTAATGCTACCTTCCAAAACCTTTATTTTAAACAATACCAAAGTTGTGTAAGCTTCCAAAGAGAGAGAGAGTTTATTTCAAACCATATCATAAATCTTATGTTCCCGAATCTTCATCATCGATATATCTATACGTACAATCACGCATGTTGTCTGCATCAATTCCTCTAATCACATAACTAATTTTCAATTATATACACATAAATAATTCTGTTGTTTTATCAGGAAATCAGTTTTGTTGTGGAAGTACATTTCAAAGTGCTTAAGTGAGCAAAAAAAGTCATGACGTCATTAATAAATAGCAACATTACAATACGCAGGTCCTTGCTATATACATTCTGCAGGTTACCTTGTATTATGCGCCAACAACTCTGATGCCTTAATATAGATGTTTATAATAAATGGCAATTTAACTTGTACCTTGTACATATTAATAAAGTAAATGGGCCTAAAAGTCACAGAACACGATTAATTCAAATGTAGCCCCGCTCATTGTTGTTTATAGAACAATTCAAAAGGTCCATGTATCACGTTAACATGTTCTAAAATCCGTAGTTTCTCCGCATCATTGTTGCTTAGAACAACAAAAGAACAAATACTGGCATGGCAACTCCAAATCGATAGAACTAGTGCAAAATATGAACATTTCAATGCAGTTCTAGCATTTTGTTTTTCATGAAGTCATTTTCTTAGTAAAGAAAGACAGAAAGTTAATCTTGAACATATATTTCTACCTCACACAAGCATAGAATATCCGACACCAGTTTGGATAGTTTTACATAGCGTCCATAGACAGGTGTCTGGCATGTGAACGTTTCAAACCTCGTGGTGCTAGTCTTGGTTCCGGTGCTATAACAAGTTGTGAAGGGGCCACTAGAGGCATGGGATACACCAATGCTAACATTAACCAGCGTTATACCTGAAAGATATTAAGAGGTAATGGACATGCTCATTAAAGAGTCAAAATGTTATGAAATGATCATCATCGAACTAAATTATGTCACATGGTAAAGCCGTAGTATGTAGGATGAAAAGTAAAACTTGGAACAGAAAGCTACCAGCAGAGCTTACCATCCACAAGTCTCACCGAACACGCTTACGTGAATGGCATATGATACATTGTACAAAAAAACAAACATTTAAAACTGGATATAGTAGAAGTAAATCATCAAACAGCATCTTACAGCTGTCTCGTCCTCTAGGACTCGACAGCGATGCAGTTTTGAAGCCTAGGAGACGATTGAAGAAAATCAAGATTGCAAGATTTGTCAAATCCATATATGTGCTTTAACCTCATAATTCGATGAATTTCGTAATTTTCATTTATCTGATAATCGCAATACAACATCAAGTAAATGTGTATATTTTAAACATTGCTACTTTTCGATACGAAAAGAATAAAGGTGAACAAAACACCGGTCCGTCCCGGAGTTTCATGCGATGTTAGGAAAAAAAAGTTTGAAAATTAAGATGAGAAATCAATATCGGCCTGAATAAAATTTTAGATATAGGCAAGTATATGCATCTAGAGTAGCGAACACGTTACATGTGCCATCCTTGAAACATGGTGGCGATAACTTGATATGTATTCTAACAAACATCCTACAACATCACAACTGAAACAAATATACCGCAATTGTTCTAATGTAAAAGTGAATCGCGGAATTAAGATTAATGTGACAAATTTTGTATTCTCATTCACTGTTGGAAAGAAGTTCAGAGTACTACACGCATTTTATTACATATTAGATAGTACACTCAGCTTTATGATATCAAAACTTGTCCTCCGTGAATCTACAGCTACTTGTAAATTGTATGTTTGATGGTCTTTTGACTAGGTTTGGTAGTATCATGAAAGTTAGGCTATGCATGCATCAGCAAAACGTTATAAAGTGTGAAAATATTTGTGTAAAAAAAAAGTGTGAATTGTGCAATATGTGTTTCATAATTGGTTTTAATGTATGTTATTTTTCGGTCCTTGAATCGGAAATAAATTTGTCCTAAATAAACATGACGAAATGACTTACCATCTGCGTCATCTTTTCTCTTCAACACGGCTACGTCTGTCACCAGAAAGGTATCCAAAAGGTCAACTCGCCACCATTGTGAGTTTGCTTTGTTTGTACAAGAACACGAATCGTCAGGTTTCACAGCGACAGGATACCTGCTACCATCTACGGCCTTGGATGCACTGTAAATTCCGGAGAAAGGTGGAAAGGTAGAGGATTGAACCGCTGGTTTGCCTTCAGCCACATTACCATAAACACCTGGATAATATAAATAGACATGAGGACAAAGACAAAAATTGTTATGGATAGGCGAACTAAAAACCTTAATATCAACCAAATGAAATTATACATTTCAAATGAGAAATATCATTTTCAATTTATGATGTTTGTCGCACAAAATTGGTGAATACTGATTAGTTTAAAAAGTGGTGCATTTATGGTTAAGGCCACTGATGCTTTAGCTTTGGGGCAAGTACTCCTCCCCATTTATATTTTGACATTTCTTTCGATCAATTTTGATTTTCCAAACTCTTCTAGATTTCATAATTTAGGCCCTTAGCATCGCTAGAAGGAGGAATAAGTTGTTTTTGGCTCTACTCCCTCCTATCATAAATGCACAATATGCCGTCTTCAGTTTTTGCATTTATCGAAACTTGACCAAATTCCACTTAGTTCGACGATCATCTTAACATATCATTAACATATTGCGTTTATTACCATACAGTTTACAATTATGCACGTACATATGTAATAACACAAGTATTTATCTCGGTTTATAAAGACATTACGATCAATGACAACATTAACATTCATTTTGCGTATTGAAGCATTTTCCTAAATCAAGGGAGAAAAGCAACGAAAGACCTGACAGAATTGTTGCGTAGACATTACATGTATTGATCATATGTGTTAAATGTGTAAGTAAAAAAGTAATAATCTGGAGGAAAATACTACCTTTCAGTTCATAGTATTGCATGTTTTCATCAAGTGAGGTTGGGGACAGATCGTCAGTTCTCGTGTTCCACCCTATACACTTTTTATCTTTGTAAAACACGGATACACAATCTGCCTGATAAAAACACTCTTGTGCACATGAAGATAGGCTTGGTACGGCGAGTTCCAACGTTATTCCACCACTTGGTAAAATATTATCAAATCTGTTATCGCCATGGAAATGGTTATGGCGAAATTCTGATAGGAAAAGAAGTACAAATAACATGTTTATTCCGATTGTAATATGATATGGTCATTGTGATGTGATATGATGATTGTGATATGAAGATTTCATGGAGCAAAATACTTTTTTTGTATGACAAACAAATAAAACATGAATTAATTAATTACATCATATATACAAGTGATCTGATGCTTCTATCATGTACATTATTTACAATATTGAAATAAAAATTGAAGTCAATCAGCCGTTATCAGCATTCTTTCACACAATAGGAGGAAATATTTGTTCCATGATATGACAGAAGATAAAACAATTTTTGAATAAGTCAAAACAAATACCTACCTGCCAGTACTGAAGTAACACAGAGCATCCTTAACATGTACATGGTTAATAGATGAGTGTTTGTATCATTCGATATACATATTATTGGTACCAGGACCAAACAACTTTTCTCATAAAACATGCAATCAAGTATTCATCTATTCCATTAGCACAACAACCAACACGATTTGAATGACTGCAGTTATTCAACCAGGCTACTTAGTAATCTATTATCGATTTGGGTGTGTGTATCTAAGGTGAATCACTCCCGAGAAAAAAATTGTTATCGTCGACGTTCGAATGATGAATGAAGAATGAGTTCACAAGAGCATTGGGTACAATGATTTTGAGATAAAATGGAGAGAAGTTACGCACTGTGAAACAAGGTAGGAGTTACCTTTCACAAGGGCGAATTTCTATACTAATAAAAATTGATGATAAGGATTTACTGGGGAAGGGGGACTAAGAAAATTCTGCCTCCTTGGATTTCGTTTCTAACGAAATCAGGATGGCAAATCAGGATGGAGGCCTTAGTGACCCCCAACCAAAGCCTCCTCCAGTAACCAATGATGATATAGTGATACTATATAGGTCGGGGGTTGCTTAGCGATCGTCCGCCATCTTGAAATCTTGAAATCGTGCATAGAGGTAAAATAAAATAAGAAAGTTTATCTGAATTTAAGTGGTATCTAGACCTTGATAGAACCAATTATGAACAATGTAAGTAGAGAACAGATTTTATCAAGATATTGTTTTTTCTTGTTTTTCCATTTCAGGTCATGTTTTTATAATTTCATTAGGCGGTTTAATACTAGTATTCTTTCACAATCTATATACATGAACTAGGTCGCAATCTGGTAACAGAACTTGATCATTATGTTTAATGTAATTTTAAAATTACCTGAATAAAAAGAATCATACAACGTTTGGTTTTTTTTCCTACTAAATAAATGTTTTATTGCAAAAAAATGAAAAAATTAACACTCGTTTGGATCAAAATTTGGAATCAGGAGTTTAAACTTGTTTAAATAAAGTTCCACTTCTTAAGGTTTTAAAAAGTAGAAGTACTCCAACTCTATAGTAAGTAACTCTTACATCAGAAAACATGTAGAATATTAGTTTAAGATAATCACACTCACTGTTGATTGTTAATGTTTCATTCCAATGAGGGTTAGTACATATCTCTCTACGAAAACGTCAGTTAAAGAAGCATTTCATTAAGTATCCAATGTTTCTTTTTAGTTAATTACGTAGAATCTCGGACAAATCCTAATATGTCATAGAAATAGCATGCTTACTTGGTACTACATTTTCACTGAAACAACATCTGTGGGAATTACGTATGTCGACACAAACATAAGGATTGAACACTGTTTTGTAGATATTGTTGCCGATATGGCAAAAACCCGTATTTTGCTGTCTAGTGTCTCTATTAGAAACGTTGAAGGCGGCTGCAGAGCAATTGAACTAAATTCCTTTACTATAGTTACGGTGTGAGGAACCATGAAAAATTATAGGACACAGTCGTTACCAAGGCTGTACACTTGCGTAGATTCACTTATTTAAAGGTAAACCTCGATGCCTAATTTTTCTTCGGGTTGATATATCTCTTTTCCCCCGGATAATATTTTCTTTTTCGTAGTAGAATATATTTTCTCACTTTCTGTACAATTTTTCATCGTGGTATTCACGTTATGATTGGTGCGTTTTCAGTTGTCGTTCTACGATTGGTGCGTTTTCAGTTGTCCTACTACGACTGGTGTGTTTTCAGTTGTCCTACTACGATTGGTGCGTTTTCAGTTGTCGTTCTACGATTGGTGCGTTTTCAGTTGTCCTACTACGATTGGTGCGTTTTCAGTTGTCCTACTACGACTGGTGTGTTTTCGAACGTTGTACTACGATTGGTGCGTTTTCGAACGTTGTTCTACGATTGGAGTGTGTGACGTCATCAGTTTTGTTTACTTACCATTTCCATATCTTTTTCTGCAAAAGATTCTGTGTATTACAGCATGGATCGAGTGGTTGAAAGTGAAAGTGGAGGAGAACAGCATGCTTCGATTACTTGAAGTAAAGTAGATAAGGAAGAGGATCAGAATCTTATTTTATCTTTAAATTTATGAATAAGAGAATCTGAATTTTAGTGTACATTTTAACAAAATGAAAAATGATATCGTTGAATCTGTCTTCTTGGTCTTTGTCTTTGTTTTTGCATTTATTCTACTTCTTTGATGTCTAGAAGATTGAAAGACAACATGTATCTAACTGAAGGGAGATGTGAATTTCATAAAATCACACACCTGGTCCAACAGTTAAAATTGATTTTTTATCTTTTCATTTCTTGTCTCTTCTTTTTATTTTCAAAAGCATGTGCGCGAGAATTTGAGAAAGGTATAGACTTACCAGGAAACGCTTCCGTTACTTCCTGACTTAGGAAGAAATGTAATAAATCCCTTTCACAACGTGGAGCACCTACCTGCTCAACCTCTATTAAAGTCTCCTAGAACTGTTCAGTACACTCGGAAACCAATCGTAATGCAAAAGTCGAAAACGCACCAATCGTAGTACAGCATTTGAAAACGCACCAGTCGTAGTACGACATTTGAAAACGCATCAGTCGTAGTACAACATTCGAAAACGCACCAATCGCACAAATTGGAGTGTGTAACGTCCAAACTTTTGTTATCTTATCATTATGGGAGTGTGATACGTTATCATTTTTGTTCACTTATCAACATAGAATTGTGTGACGTCATCATTTTTGTTTACTTACCAAATTTTGTAACTTTTCGGCAACGATTTCTGCGAATTACAGCATGGTTCGAATGATTGTAGTGAGGTAGATAAGGATGAGGATCTGGATCTCATTTTATCTTAAAAGTTATGAAAAAGAGAATCAGAAGTGTTTATTTTATCATTTTATCTTAAAGTTTATGAAGAAGAGAATCGGAAGTGTCCATTTTATCATTTTATCTTAAAGTTTATGAAGAAGAGAATAGGAAGTGTCCATTTTATCATTTTATCTTAAAGTTTATGAAGAAGAGAATCGGAAGTGTCCATTTTATCATTTTATCTTAAAGTTTATGAAGAAGAGAATCGCAAGTGTCCATTTTATCATTTTATCTTAAAGTTTATGAAGAAGAGAATCGGAAGTGTCCATTTAAACAAAATTAAAAGAAATAATACTGTTAAATCTGTGGTCTTTTTCTTTGCCTTTATTTTGTCACGACTTTGTCATAATTTTGTCATATTTTGTCATGATCTGTGATATTTTGTCACCATACCAGTATTCCGTTGACAATTTATTCTCTAGCAACGAGCAAACAAATCTGTGAATACAAAACATTTGCAGCCCTGAGGATTTCCATGATGTTGTCGAATTCAGCTTGCACTATATTGGCAATCATTCGTTCTCCATTCAAAGTTTACAACCAAACTTACCAGCATTTTAAAACTTTACAAAGAGACAGGATGGGATCCACTTAAAACTAGAAGAAACTATCATAAAATTATCCAGCTTCATAAAATGGTCCATAGCAAAACACCGCCATATTTACAAGATATACTTCCTCAGAGACACTCCAATATACACGGTCACAATACTAGAGAAGCCAATAACTTTCTTCCAATTCGCTGCAGAACAAATACATATAAAAAGTCCTTCTTATCTTCAACAATCCACATTTGGAATGATCTCCCCGCTGCTATTAAAAATAATCCCTCTCTTTCAAAATTAAAATTGTATTTAAGTGCCAATGCTACTTCAGTGCCAACATATTATTTTGCTGGAACTAGACTTGGACAAATATACCATGCTAGATTGCGTATGGAATGTAGTTCCCTAAATGACCATTTATTTAAGAAAAAAATTGTTGAATCTCCGTTGTGTAATTGTAGGTTATCAAATGAAACTGTCGAACATTATCTTTTATAATGTACCAAATATAGAAACATTAGACAAGACTGTTTTGCTACTTTACCTTTACAGATAACCTTGGATACTTTAGTTTATGGAAACACTAACTTACCGAGAAATACCAACGAAATAGTATTTCAAAGTGTTCAAAATTACATTTTACGCACTAAAAGATTTGAATGATTGTTACATTATTTTTGTATGATAATTAAATATTTATATACATATAGTATCAGTATCGGCGCTTACAGTGCTGTTAAGTAGAATCACATCAAGGAGACAGATTTATATAAGTGTTCATCACTTGTTTCTGAATCCTTTTCTTTTGTATACCTAAGTACTCTGTAATATGTTATGTAATAAGAAAGAAATAAAGTTTAAACTAAAGTTTACTCGAGGTGAAAACTGAGAAAAAGAAAATTGGGTATTGCCGATTATGATTATTAAAAAAAAACAAACAAACAATCAAAAACAAAAACAAACAAACAAACAAAACAACGAAAAAAACGAAAAACAAAAAGTTATTATCAGAAAGCGATAAATTATATAGACAATACCAGGATTGTTATTTTGTGAAATATTTTCCAAAAATTTGTGTACAAAGAACTGATTTTAGATGTTTGTAGAAAATCATTTATAGATTTATAACCATTCGCGAGTTGTAGGGAAAACATGTTGTCGAAAAAGCAGATTTTCTGAGGAAGACTCAAAACACACGCTGGGTTTCACGACCCCAAAACATTCAACGAGGGTATCAATAGTTAAAAGTCTATCACAGATCACCGATTGGTGGCAGAATCAAGATCATTACAGCGTTTGAAGACTGGTTCGACACAGGCAGTGGATTACATGTGGGATCCCGATTGAGAACATGTCTCCAACATCATAGACTATAACGATGACACCTCTTCCTTATTAGTGGTGGTGCATCACTTTTCAGGCAATACTTCGGTGCTACACCTGAAGAACAAGAAGGCCAGCATGGTGTTGGAAGCTCTTGAAAAGATATTTGCCGAGAGGAAACCAAGCATCGTCTATAAGATAAATGATCCGAGTTAAAAGGTACATAGATATTGCTGCAAAATACATCATCCCAATGAAACGATATATAGATACTGCTACAAAGGCGTACGAAACCAAATTGATTTGTGACAAAATATCCACTGCCGCGCTTTGCAGAAAGGGCTGCTGACCTTATTTTTTTGTTTACTTATTGTTTATTCCTCATTGATTTGAAAGATGTTTGCTCACTCATCATTAACAAAAGCAATTTTGAAATCAATAAACTGATAAATAATGCTAGTTATACAAGAAAACTTCAGCATCTGTCATTTTGTCGACGGAAATGGAAATTGGATAAAAGCCTGCCTTTGCCATGTTCTCAAAATTGGTATCAGAGACACCACACGGTCACCGAAGATTGCCATGACGACTAAGCAGCCTTTCTAGTATTCTGTAATTAAATTTGCATCATTTAAAAGCTTTCCGCAAATAATATTCAGTATGGAATGAATTATTTGGATACAAGCCCTAGAGCATTTTGAATGCCACCCTATCGCGTTCGCGGTCTATTTCTATCCTTACTTCTAAAATAACACCGTGCATGCATGATTTATTGCCATGCCAACATCAGTAACATCTTCAAAGTAATATTACAATTTGCTTTATATAAAATTGACAGTTTGAAGAAAATAATTTGTCGCTTTGTCGAGCAACAATGACTTTGCCAGAAGTGTTTGAAATAGCAGTAATACTGTGGTCTGTGCAAGTATCAAACATTTTAAAAACCTTGTGTATCTGGGAAGCAACAGAAGTAGAGTAACTGTGACTATTGGCACTTACCTAATAGAAGTTTAGTGTGTGATAAGGAGGGAATGAACGTAGAGACATATGGTTATATAAGTTTTTGAATTATGTTTTTTTAAATGAATTTCCTTCAATCGTTTATATCACTAAGTATATATGAAAAGGTCACAGGGTAAATCTATCTATTGTTATTTGGGCGTCAAACTTGTATTTCAAGATGGTTGACTCCTCAGACTGACTGTATTCGAGGCCAGGACATTCTCGTTTAGCTGGAGGAAACTTGTGAGTGGGGGACTAATGGTACACGAGATTGGCAGTAACCTTGTGTCTAGGGGACTAATGGTGCACGAGACTGGCAGTGACTTTGTGTCCAGAGGACTAATAATGTACGAGATTGGAAGTAATGTTGTGATTGGAGGACTAATAGTGCACAAGACTGGCAGTGACTTTGTGTCCAGAGGACTAATAATGTACGAGATTGGAAGTAACCTTGTATCTGGAGGACCAATAGGGCACGAGATTGGCAGTGACTTTGTGTCCAGAGGACTAATAATGTACGAGATTGGAAGTAACCCTGTGTCTAGGGGACTAATAGTGCACGAGATTGGCAGTGACCTTGTGTCCAGAGGACTAATAATGTACGAGACTGGAAATAACCTTGTGTCTGGAGGACTAATAGGGCACGAGACTGGCAGTAATGTTGTGATTGGAGGACTAATAGTGCACAAGATTGGCAGTAACCTTGTGTCTAGGGGACTAATAGTGCACGAGATTGGCAGTGACCTTGTGTCTTGATGAATAACAATGTAGGTACAAATAGCTCCGAGATTGACCGAAACCGTTTGACTGTAGGAATAATAATCCTTATGTTGATATTTTGCAGTACCTCTTTGCTCAACTCTCCTTTTATCCATTTTGCTCAGATTCTTTTTACATTTTTTCATATTTCTAGTGATATTAAGTATTTAACACACGTTCATGCCTACCTTGACATATAATGCGGCTACATTGTGCTATTTGACCAAAGTTATCTCTGGCGTTAAATAATTTCATAATATACAACATCCTGTTTTGGAAATTTTACGCTTTTTATTACATAAAACAAAATGACGTTAAAATAATTTGCATGGAATATGTGATACACACGTGAATCTGATTATGAAGTTCTATATTATCATAATAAAACCCTGGAATATTTCGTAAACACGCAAGTCCTGATTGTGAAGCTCTCTATTATCATAAACCATGGAATATTTGGTAAACACGCGAGTCCTGAGTGTAAAGCTCTCTATTATCATAAAACCATGGAATATTTGGTAAACACGCGAGTCCTGATTGTGAAGCTCTCTGTTATCCTAATAAAACCCTGGAATATTTGGTATACACGCGAGTCCTGATTGTGAAGCTCTCTATTATCATAAAACCATGGAATATTTGGTAAACACGCGAGTCCTGAGTGTAAAGCTCTCTGTTATCATAAAACCACGAAATGTGAAGCTCTCTATTATGATAATGAAACTATGGGCTCCAATAACAACCTCGTACCTAGACTATTTCGTTTGAATATGTATAATCGAATGCTACTTAATTGCCTGGAAACTTCAGTTGCTTTTATACATCAAGGAAATTCGTTCATCAGTAGCAGTGCTGATGGAAGTCGATAAGGTTTTTTTTTTTTATAGAATCTTGATACAAACGATGTTTCATCTTTTATGCTGTTGTTTCTACTGTTGTAGTGCCGTGGTCTTACATTATCGGTGTTGTTCATCTTTTAAATTTGGAGCTTTTCAACTCGTGAGCTTATATATTTCTAAGTGCCGTTAAAGCTTGGTTAGGAATGGAAAAAATGTTCCTGGTAGTCGACGAAATTTCCAGAGCAGCAACAACAGTAACGACAATTATCATTTTTTTCATTCAAAACTTATGCTAGAACGTATATTTCAACCTCACACATACAATAATAAGATTGTACAAGTTTCGAGAGTTTTACATAACGTCCATAAATTGGCGTCTGGCATGTAAACGTTTCAAATCTCATCACGGAGTATGTGGGACCGGTGTTGTAACAATGTGAGAAAGGACCACCGACATCCAAGGCAACATCGATACTGACATTTACCAGAGTCATCCCTGAAAGTACACAAAACAAATTGGGATCCTTAAATACCAGAATATTGACATCACCAACGACATATATGAAACATAATACAAGACCACGCTCATTCTCGACTGTTAATGCAACATAAACACTTATCACTGTATTATCATAAATAAATAAGTCCTTCAGCTGTAACTGCATTCCTGATGATAATCCTTGTATCGATGACTCACAGATTCAAGGACAAACAGATAAACAAGTTTTCAGACTCACGGACAGACAGATTAACAAAAAAGTACTCACACTCACGGACAGACAGATAAACAAACAAGTTATCAGACTCACGGACAGACATATGAACATACAAGTTCTCAGACTCACGGACAGACAGATAAACAAACAAGTTCTCAGATTCACGGACAGACAGATAAACAAGTTTTCAGACTCACGGACAGACAGATTAACAAAAAAGTACTCACACTCACGGTCAGACAGATAAACATACAAGTTCTCAGACTCACGGACAGACAGATAAACAAACAAGTTCTCCGCCTCACGGACAGACAGATAAACAAGTTTTCAGACTCACGGACAGACAGATAAACAAACAAGTTCTCCGCCTCACGGACAGACAGATAAACAAACAAGTTCTCAATAATACGTGAAATGAAGTACATAAATAAGGAAGGGAAGGTTGACTTCGAAAACTAGAACGCAAACAAAATACCTAAAACATTTTCAGTTGAAAGATTTGTTATCATAGACAAAAATGTGGAAAAGATAACTGAACAAGTTTTATGGAATGTGTAACAAGAACTGTACTAGGGTCATCTTTCACGCGTTTTATACAAATAACTTTCTATCTGGGAAATGAATATCACTTATATGATTTTAGTAATGACAGCTCCTCCTGCATGGGTATTTTGTCAGTGTCAATGGCTCCATAGACTATTTAAATATATAGAAATTGTACTAGCTCCATTAAGACAATGGTTTTTTCTGAAGTACTGTTCTGTAAATGGTGCTGTTTCGACTGTTTCTTTCTACTTGCGAAACTTTGAATCTTTGAAAAATCTTTACAATAGTTTATCGATCATTTTATAAAACAGCTACATCAGGAAGATAAATGTCGCACCAAATATATCATCCTGCCTCTTCAGCACGGCTACGTCTGTCACTAGATAGGTATCCAAAAGGTCAACCCGCCACCATTCCAAGGTCGTCTTCCCCGTGCACGAACAGGAATCGTCCGGTTGGAAAGCGACGGGATATCTGCTTCCGTCCACGGCCTTGGAAGCGACGTATGATCCTTGGAAAGGCGGAAAGGTGGATGACTGAACCGCTGGTTTTCCTTTAGCAACATTACCATATATACCTGTATAATGGATCGTCATAGTGTCATCATAATAGACCTTTCTATAGGGAATAAAACTTCATTATACAGGGTATAAAACGTTATTGTAGTTAAGGGCTATGAAATCATTCACCCCGTTTGACATAACGATTCTATACCAAATGATAAACGAAGCCGATCTCAAGCCATAGAACTATCAAATAAAGAAAGGGCCCTGTGATCATTATATAAGTACATTAAGTGAATTTTACACAGCTCTATGAATAACACGATTGATTTACCAATGTTTCAAATTAACAGGAAGTACATCACAACTCAGGTTACGTAATGTTTAAAATTTACAGATTGCTGATGTTTACCTGACAAACAATGATTAATTATTATGCATGATATAAAGCTACTGTACAATTGATTGTAGCAGTGAACAAATATTCTAAAAATAGACTGGCGATTCCGTAAACACGACGGTATTGTATTCGTCACTTAGTAATGATTTTCCTTTAAAACTCTCACCCGACCCCTTCTACTGCTAAACAAGTATGTGAAACACTGTACTAAACTTTTTTCCCCATAAAAAAGATCCGGTAACAACTAATTTAAATTAAATGTTTATTTCATTGAGTAGTTCATCTGAAAGTGAATTAGATATTCCAATATTAAAGTAAAAACTAGGGGAAAAATGTAAAATAGTTGTATTTTTAAATAAATACGAAATGAAAATCTAGACAATTACATGAATTTCGTTGTAATATAAACGGAGGTCATGGGAAAGGTAGAGAGAGAATAAGATCAGAGGTGTCCCGGAATCGTTTTTCACTTCATTGACTATGGTAGCCATGTAAGTATAGGTAACTGACGCTTTCTTAAATAGGCAAACTAAACGCTTCCCATAGCTCACAAATATGAAGAAAAATCTCATCCAATGTACGCATGTACATAAAACCTGTCATTTTTTACCACTGAACTAAAACTATGTTTAATCACATCTATTGCAATAAATAAACCAACAAAATCACTTACTGGAAAATTAAGGAAAAGTTATATCAATCATCTCCTGTTAAGGTAATGAACCTCACGAAAAAATGCTAGAATAAGATCAGGTGCTCAGGATAAAGGAATTCAACCTCTCGTTTTGTTTTCCATTGAATTTTTCAGCCAATTTTTTCACTTGCCGAAGGACCAAATGAATACCAATTAATTAATTAATTTGCTTATATAGAGCTCTGAAGGTAACATCAACCGAACGATGAATGGTTCAGGCAACTCGGTCGATATCACGATCCTCTGCTGACGTTGACACATCTTTAATTGTATAAATGCAAATTAAAACTAGTTTTAATGTTATTTATACAGGCTGATTGTGATTATATACAAGGATTAAATTATTAGCGGAAGGAGGTAATTTGGGGGTGGAGCAAGGTGGCCCAACTGTCGCCCGTGCGCACTAATTCGTTGGCTAATTTTAGACCGCTATAAATATAAATGACGCAGCATTTTCTATTCAGAAGCTGACAGCAGAATATGGCGGAACAAGGTTCGTACGGTCAAGGCCAGTTTATTTAATTTATATTAGTCTATTTATATCATTGGTAAACTAAAACATTTTCATTCAATTTTAGCCCACCACCATCCCCTACTTTCCTCCTTTCTTTTCTTGAGCCTTTATATATTGTTCATTTCTTTTAAATTGTTCCAGACTTGGATGATGAGAATTTTTCATTAGTTTCAATTTTCCATCAAATATGAATAGGAAGTGTCCTTCATATATATATATATATATATATATATATATATATTTTCCAAGCGTTTATGCTATGTACATGACTCGTCATATCCGCTGTGTTAAGTTTGTAATTTCATAAAGTCATTACCTAAGCCTGAGTTGTTGATTAGGTCATTTAGAGATGTATATATATATATATGTCTCTGGGTTACTGAACTTGTACCATTCAATAATTCACAATTAATGTTAAATTGTCTACCCTTTAGTATAACATCCAGGTATGTCATGTTCTTGTTATATGCTGTAAAGTTTTCCTTCATATCTGATAAATTTGTACAATGTTTGTTTTCTTGACTTGTATTAACTGTATTGCTTTATGTTTATGTATGGTGATGATGAGCCCCATCTAAGACTTGTTTATTAAATTTAAATGATAAACTTTGAACCAAATAACAAATGTCGTTTACTAAAATAAACGCCCACATCTTTAATTGTATAATTACTATTTACACTCAATTATCACCAAGCCAACACAAGTAACGTTATCACCGGAAATAGTCTACGATATACTAACTATAAAAACCCGATCTTAAACTAAAAACGGAACATATATGCAGGCACTTATAACACATGGTCAGTGTTGGAATTGCTAAGTTGTCTCAACACTCATGACCACCCAAACATCACTGACGATTCTAGGAAGGACAAAACAGCTATATGATGCAGTTATTAATTTCGGGAAAGGTATCACTATTAAGCAACCATGCATATATCTTTCCTTCATATTTTGCTAAAGTTTAGAGGATGTTCAAATTGTGTTTTATTTCCAAATTGGTAATGCCTAAGACTGATATCAGAATAATGATGTTATCAATATATACTGTACTAGCTCTGTGTAACATACAAAATGCATGTTCTTTTTATCTTATTCAAAATACAAAATAGAAAACACGATTCAGCGTTGAACGAAGGGTTTTATGAAAGCTAGACTGTTCCGTGGTATACATTTTTTGTATTCAACTACACATACAAGAAAAGATGGAGATAACCATTCCAAATATATATCTATTAAATTTACGAATCACGAACTCGAAATGAAAATAGATGCAATGAATAAAAACTCATTATAACGAACGATTTCTGTAATGATGCAATTTACATTTATTAATAAATACATCGACACACTTAACAATTTACTCTGAGCTCATCACTTCCGCTAATTACCTATTAATATTTAACTGACGTCCTAACTAATACTGGATTTTGTCATATTTAAAAAAGATTTCCAGAGTTCGGTGACGGGGTATAAAACATCAACCTTAAAACATAAAGAAAAAACACTCTGTTCCATTTGTCTAATAATTCCTAGCATTTTAACTTGGGGCGACATGGTGATGTCATTTTTGTTTTAATTTACATATTGTCAATTACTCATGATGAGGTCTTGTAGTGGTAAAAAGGTCAGACATTACATATATAACTACATTCGTGACAGAAACACATATTGAGGCATGCTATTAAACCGTTTCATTGAAGATCACTCTCGTTTATAAATGATAGTCTGTTGATATCACGACATCATGTTTTTTTTTAAAGTACTGTATTTGCGCTACAGAGAATTTTGATTTGAAAAGCTGGTACTGTATATAGAGCTATGCAAATGTGTTAACGTTTAATAGTCTCAATCTCCATCATGATTCTATATATGTGTTTAAAACCCTTAAAAAGAACTAGAAATGAGGTTTTGAAATGAAAACGTATTACATGTGATAAAGTCGGACGTTTTTTATGAGGGATATTTTGTTTCTTTTCTTTTTGTAGTATGGCATGTCTAATGTGAATAACGAATGATACAGGTCAAGAGGACTGATGAAAAAAATCGTTATTACCTCTCAATTCATAATATCGCATATTGTCGGCTAGCGAAGTCGGGGACAGGTCGTTCAGTCTCGTGTTCCATCCAATGCATTGCCCATCCTTGTAAAACATAGATATACAATCGGTGTGGTGATAGCACTCCAGTGCACACGAGGCGAGACTTGACACGATGAAGTTCCACTTTATTCCGTCTTCAGGTAATTTACTATCGTACCCTCTGTCGAGGTGGAAAAAGTTCTGTCGGAATTCTGTGATGAAATGCATTAATTATATAAATGTATATCAATTGATCCTGTGTGCAAACATACTTTTTAACATAAGGAATTTGCAATAATTTTGCGTAGAAAATAAGCAATTCTTCATATCATTATATTCGGAGAGTGTAAAAAAATGTCTTATAAATTAGAAAGTCATAACAAAGTGGCGGGGTAAAACGAGGTTTCGAAAAGTCACGTGATGAACGTGGTAGACTGCGAAAGTCATAACAAAGTGGCGGGTTAAAACGAGGTTTCGAAAAGTCACGTGATGAACGTGGTAGACTGCATAACAACGAGTGCCGACCAATTTCAGCTTGAAGCTGATATCATTCCAATTTTCTCAGAAAGCTCTGTAATTTTGTGAACAGTCTTATCTTAAATATATCCACTTGCCCGAAATCAAACGCATGGGGAAAATAATCTAAAATCTAACCCTTTAGTCCCTTTCAATAAGACTCTTTTAAACACAAAGTTAGAACAGCAATAAGTCTACTATGGTTACAGCTATTTTACTAATGTTATTACTTGGTTATGATTTTGAAACAAATCCGGGACCTTGTGCTTTTAGTGGAATTTCTTTTTTCCCATTTAGATAGCAGAAACATTCGTAATAAGCTCTCGGCTATCGAAACTATTGTCCATGATTATCACGTAGTGTCTATCACAGAGCCTCATTTGGATTACACTGTGGATAATTCTGACCTGTTACTGGAAGGATTTTCCGAGCCTCACGTGCTTGACAGGAACTGTTTTAGGGGTGGGGTATCCGTTTATAGTAAACGATGTACATTTCAAACGTGGAAATGATTTAGAATTTATCAGTGGTGAAGTTATCTGGATGGAAAACAACATAAGTAACAGAACTTATCTAATCTGCACTGTATACCGTCCTGAAGGTGATATTACACCTTTTTGGGACAACTTTCAATATTCAATAGAAAAAGCATTTACTCAGTGATATTATTATGGTGACAAACGATATGCTAACAGTATAAATCATAAAATCAATGGATTTATTGTTAACTAATGTTATCGTGTGTCACGGACACTACCCGTACTCTAATTGGTCCTATATTCATTAGTATGTGTTTGTTTGTTTGAATCGTCAGTTATCCTATTGATAAAAATATCGGTGATCACTCGGCTACACTTTTAAATCTTAAGTCTCCGGGAATAATGAGAGAAAATTTCAACATGAAGTTATGATCGATAAAAATGTCAATTCGCCTTTCTTAAAATCACCAAATGAAGCATATGATATTTTTACTTCCGAATTAACGGAGTTTGCAAATATGTGTACCCTCCCCCCCACTCCCCCCGGCTCATGCCAGGTAGTTCTGTTCGGCAACCTAGGATAGCGGCGTCGCAACACTTCCAGGTGCGAAAATAGATTAGAAACACAGACAGTAACAAAGGACGAAACACATGACATTGTAAAGCAATAGAATTGAATAAGGCATCTGGATATGATAAAATTAGCCACAATATGTTTAGAACACTATTGAGACAGTCTGTGAACCTCTTAAAATATTATTTAATCTATCTCTAAATCAGTGTTTCCCCAACAATGGAAACCTGCAGTGGTTATGCCTTTATTTCAAAAGAATGAACTTTTTTACAGGTACATTACAGCCGATTTCATTTTTTAGTTCTGTTAGTAAAGTCTTCGAAAGGGCTGTGTATAAACATTTACATAATTTTCCAATAACCTTTTATATAAATATCAATCATGTTTTGTTCTTTGTCACTCTACTGTATATCAGCTAATTGAGATATATGATAATTTATGCTTAGAATTAGATAGTAAACCCCAGACATGTATGGTATTTTTCGACATTTCCAAAAGCTTTCGACAGAGTCTAGCAAAAGGATCTGCGGACAAAAATACATTGTAATGGTATCCAGGGCAGTCATCTACATTGGCTAAAAGATTATTTGAGTGGTAACAAACAAAAAGTTTTTCATTAGAGAAGCATGTTCATCAGTAAGTGACAATAATGCCGGAGATCCACAAGGGTCAATACCAAAGGCCACTTTTGTTTCTAATCTTAAGTGACATATCAGACAACTTGTATTCTCTAGCTAGAATGTTTGCTTATGACACTTCTGTCGCCTATTCTTTTAATAACTGTTTAGAAAAAGAACATTTTGGTACGTTTAAAATTTAACAAAAAAGACCCAAAACTTTTCACAAAATACAATATCAGTATATCTGAACAAAAAATATATCTCTTTTGTTCATGCCTTTTTTGATACATTACCTTGAAGGTTCTATTAATGTAGAGGAAAACTTGAAGTCGGAAGAAGTTTTAAGATATTGAAAGGAAACGGTAAAACGTTACTTGTATGATTCTGTGCTTGTCATTTACGTGTTTTAAAAAATGAGATAGCAAAGCACTTTTTCAAATCCGCTTACCTGTCAGAGCTAATGAAGCACAGAACACTCCTAGCATGTACATGCTTTGAAGAATACGTACGCACTCCATGATTGTATCGTTATACATTAGCTCGAAATCGCTATTTCAGGCTTGTCAAAGAGCATTCAGCCGTAGAACCAAATTCCACTAAAGCTGTATTTAAATTTGTCCCTGTGTTTGCAATAGCTCGGCTCGATATAATGAACTTGCGCACACTCAGATTTCCATTACCCCAGAATCATTGATACGATGTCCGGTGTACAAGCACCTGGAGCTGTACAGAAGTGTATCACAGTGTCAATATCGTGTACCGTTAAAGGACTTTTACGCTGAGACTTTTTTGCTCGACTCTCTTAAATGAATTCAGTATGTTCAAACTACTAACAATTTAAACAGCGCGTGGAAATTCCGGCAACCTTATTTATTTCCGAAGAATGCCGGAAACTCGGAATGTTGCGATTGGTGGAATTAAAACAATTGCACTCGGGTGTTTCCGTCGAACGATGCAGGCGAAAGATGCAAGGATCTTGTTACCGAACACACCAACATGCGCACTAGGCAAAAGCAGAGATATATCCTTAGACTCTTTGCTTTTTAATTATATACTACTATCCCAATTCATCCCAATAATTTTAGACTTGGAAGCACATATAGCAGTTGAGCAGATTAAACATGTCAGGTAGATATTGAAATGCTAAGTTTTGTTTTCGTATAAATCCGAGTTAAATGTTCACGGTTTCTGTAAAGAACAGCTTGGGATTTACAAGAACTTGTCGTCATGTAACTGAAGAGTGGAATTTCTTTTGTAATGTAGCATAATCACAACAATATTGATGTCCTTCAAAAAAATCTTTGCCATGAAACTGCCTCTTATTAAATAGCTACATACAAGTCGATATATAATGGAAATGTTGTATGCAGTATTGTTGGTTTAATGGATTTGTTGCAAATATCACCGATCGATGTGTTGCCAACACTGCGGGGTATGTATTACCAATGACGGATAATGCTATGTAATCTAAAAATCAAAAATGCTTTTGAATAGGTACTGTTACAGTACACAAGCTTCTGTCCTTACTATTTCATGAGATAATGGCAAGGATAAGGACTAAATCATAAGTTTGTTTTGTCAGTTCATAAAACATTTGTTCACAATCACAATGCCGATTTACCAGTCGGATGTAAGAAAAATGAACTTCACGTGATCGTGTGGTAACTATAAAAAGGTCAAGCACAGGCATTTCTATTTCCGTCCGCTGAGTGTCCGAAAGGCTGTAATAATGGACGTAAAACCTGTCAGATAAATAGCCAATAACGTCACTTCAAATCCCTTTTCCCTTCTTTTTTTCTATGGAAAGCTATCTTGTATTTAGGGGGAAATTATGAGGATCGATAATTATAATTTAATTAATCAAAAAATGGAATAATGTACTAATGGATTTAATTATAGGTTTGATTCATTATTAATTACCACCATCATATCAACTTTCACAAAACGCACTCATCCGTGTGCTTTCTTATTGATTGTTTTTCGGATTAAAATATTGGTTTAGTTAAAGTATGTGCTAAACAAGGAATGGGAATGTTCACTTGGTTTAATTATTTTATTCAACTCCCATATTGATATGATCAGTTGAATCCGAAACACATTGCAGACAATTTACCTTTTGTTATGCATAGGTTAACTAGGTTAGGTGATTTATTCATTGTGTCTAAACACAAAATGGTACGGCGGGTTTCAAAATTGGTCACACCATACATATCTTAATGCTTATAGTTTGCTGTTCATGACTTTCAATGAGGATCTGGTGACTATGAGCACATTTGATAAAAGCCTGGTGATCAACAAAGTTACCAGGGCAAATGTCTTGGAACCGTCTTCAGGTATAATCAAACGATCACTGCTGCAGACTTTTCCATCCATCTGAAGGGGGTGCAGGTCGCCCACTCACGTCGCCAGAACACTGACATTCGTCGGTGAGACATACCCGAACACGGGAGGAGTCGCGGAGACGAAAAACCTGTGTACCAACAGAGACGTATATATCATGATATATACGTCTCTGGTACCAACTAACAAACCAACCAAAGTTACAGCATGCTTTTAATATCTACATAAGCCCAAGTATCACATTGGAGAAATCAGACATAGAAAAAAGCATTAATGGATATCATAATTTCATAATATCTGGGGACTTTAACGCTTCAAGCAATTCATGGGGTAGAAATAAAACAAATAAAAGAGGGTGTCTTATAGAAAATTGGATATCTGATAACGACATCACTGTACGTAACGACCCTGAATTGGCAACAACGGTCGATATAATAACTGAAAAAATATCAAATCTAGATCTTACATTAGCGTCACCGGAAATACCACTCTCAACACATGTACTTCTAGCAACAGCACACTGGGATCAAATCACTACCCTACATTCAATGGATTTTCGATAAGGTTGATAGGAACGAATTTCCAAATGTATGTACTAAAGTAAATAAACACTCCATCAAAAATGATAATGTAGATACATATACAACAACTCTTACAAACACAATCATAGATATAGAACACAGTATACCCCGTGTAACC